TGCTCCTGCTGGTGCTGCTGGAGGTTCGGGAGCTACTGGAGGTGCTGCTGGAGCGGGTACTCCTGCTGGGGGTACTGGTGCTGTCCCTGCTGTTTCTGGCATCGCCGCGCGGCCCCGGCCGTACTTCGTTCCGCTCCTGCAGCAGGTTCTTGGTCTTACACCTTCTCCTGGTCCTCCTCCTCCTCCCTTAGAGGGTCCACAGCCTTTCTCGTCACAGTCACAGCTACAGCCTGCCTCCCCTTTGCCTGCTCCTTCTCCCTACGCTGGTCCGACTGGAGGTCTTACTGAGCGTCGTGAGCCTGCGTCTCGTCCTGGGTCGCCTGTTCGTACTCTGCGCGCTAGTGGTCGCGGTTTGCGTCAGCGTCCTCCTCCTGTCCCTGGCACGCACCGGATGTCTCTGCGTCCGTCCACTGCTCCTCTGCGTGCCCCTTTGCCTTCTCCTCCTGCTTCCTCTCTTCCCGCTCTTGCCGACCCGGAGTCGGACTCTCTTCGTGCTGCCAGTCCTACTGTCACGCGTCTCCTTGCTACAACTGTCACTGACCCTTCTTTCGAGTCTTCTGCTGCGTCTGCCCTTGTCACTGAGCTCGTCGACTTTGCTGCGCGTTGTCGCCTAGACTACGCTGCTAGTCTTGTTGCTGAGTCTGAGTCTGCCAGTCCTCCGTCCGTCGGGGGTGAGTGTGCCCTTGGCACGGACGTCCTTGAGGACAGGCAGGAGGAGTTCGAGTGTCTGGCCGCCGCTTCACCTCATCTCGCGTCTGTACTGCTAGCCCCTGAGGGAGACCCGGATGCACTAGACATCCCGACTCCGCGCTCTTACGCGGAGGCGATAGAGGGTCCCTACTCCTCTAAGTGGGAGGCAGCTATGGATGCAGAGATGGCTTCCTGGAAGTCCACAGGCACCTACGTCGACGCTGTTCCCCCTCCTGGGGCGAACATCGTCAGTGGCATGTGGATTTTCAGGGTGAAGCGGCCGCCGGGTTCTCCGCCTGTCTTCAAGGCGCGTTACGTGGCTCGTGGCTTCAGTCAGCGGCAGGGGGTTGACTACTTTCAGACCTTCTCCCCCACCCCGAAGATGACCACTCTTCGGGTACTGGTGCACGTTGCTGCTCACCGTGACTACGAGCTCCACTCTCTCGACTTCAGCACAGCTTTCTTGCAGGGCAGCCTGCACGAGGAGATCTGGCTGCGTCGCCCACCTGGCTTCACTGGGTCTTTCCCTCCTGGTACCCAGTGGAGTCTCCGGCGTCCAGTCTACGGTCTCCGCCAGGCGCCACGTGAGTGGCACGACACACTGAGGACTACGCTGGCGACACTTGGGTTTGCTCCTTCTACTGCCGACCCGTCACTGTTTCTGCGCACCGACACCTCTCTGCCGCCGTTCTACATCCTGGTGTACGTCGACGACTTGGTCTTTGCCACAGCTGACACTGCTGGACTCGCCTACGTGAAGTCCGAGCTGCAGAAGAGACACACGTGCACTGACCTGGGTGAACTGCGCAGCTACCTTGGCTTGCAGATCACCCGGGACAGAGCACGCCGCACCATTACCCTGACTCAGTCACACACGGTGCAGCATGTCCTTCAGCGCTTCGGCTTCACGTACTCCTCGCCTCAGGCCACTCCTCTGCCTACTCGCCACTCGCTCTCAGCTCTGCCTTCGGATGAGTCCGTAGAGTCGAGTGGCCCGTATGCAGAGCTTGTTGGCTGCCTCATGTACCTGATGACCTGCACACGACCTGACCTTGCATACCCTCTCAGCATTCTCGCACGCTATGTTGCTCCTGGGAGACACCGACCAGAGCACATGGCTGCAGCGAAGAGGGTGTTGCGCTACTTGTGCAGTACGTCGGGCATGGGGCTAGTGCTTGGAGGGCGGAGTCCAGTGGTCCTCACTGGGCACGCGGACGCTTCTTGGGCTGACGACCAGGCTACACAGCGGTCGTCACAGGGTTACACCTTCAGCCTTGGTTTCGGCTCTGTCTCGTGGCGGGCTACTCGCTCGTCTTCTGTTCTCGGCTCCAGTTGTGAGGCTGAGATCTACGCCGGGGCTATGGCTGCTCAGGAGCTTCGCTGGCTCACCTACCTGCTGACCGACCTTGGAGAGCCGCCTCGTTCTCCTCCAGTCCTGTACGTAGACAACAAGGCCATGCTGGCCTTGTGTCGAGAGCAGCGACTGGAGCACAGGACAAAGCACATTGCTCTCCGCTACTTTCTTGCTCGTGAGCTGCAGCAGCGTGGACAGTTGCGACTTGCGTACGTGGCCTCTGAGGCCAACACTGCTGATGTTTTCACCAAGGCACTTGCGCCTTGTGATCATCAGCGTTGCTGCACGCAGCTGGGTCTTGTGCCTGTCTTGTCTCACTTGCTCACTTCTTGACCTTGCTTGTACCTTGACCTGTATATACTCTTGCTCTTGCTTGCTTGACTGTTGTATATCTCTATATATGATCTTGCATGCGAACTGGCCTTGTGGCCCTTGACCTTGTGCTCGGAATGTGTGGTGACTTTGTGATCCACCCTGAGCTTTGCTTTGCTTTGCTTGACTGGTCTTGTGACCCCTTGTTCTTCCCCACTTTGCCTATGGGGGTGTGTCAGAACATTATAGCTTACTTGTTTGTGTAGGCTATAGTGGGGTATCCCATAGGGGGTACAACCCAATTAGGGTTTCCTATTTGTACTCACCTCGTTCGTAGTCAATTCATTCACGTTTCTATTTTCACAAACAACCAATAGTAGCACTCCTTTGGTGTCGCGAACTCGCAGTTGCATGCGCGGGATGTCCCGCTCGTCAATGTTACCGACCAATCGCGTTCGTTTTCTGCCGAGTCGTGCATGCATCGGCGCGTAAGAACGAGGTGGGTTCTTTCGGTTTTCTGGGGGCCGCGGAGCTTTCGGTGGCAGCCTGGTGGGTTTCACTCAGCCACGCAGGGCCGCACTAGGTCCAAACCTGGTAGGATCCTGGGTGGCCGACTTCGCCCCACGCTCCCCGCGATTTCTCCGCGCCTCGTGCATCCCAAGGCGTGGGCGGGGTTTTTCCCGAGCCGCGCCGTATGAACATCGCAGTGCAACCGTGTTTTCAAGTGATAAACCCAGGCCTCCCGCAGGAGGTATGTAGGCGACAGCTTTAAGCTTTGCACCATCCTCTCCGCTAGCCCATCACTCTGCGGGAGATACCTCGAAGGGGTTCTCCTGCAAGAGACTTCGACTTGGTCCAGTAACTTCTTGAATTCCCCTTGGAACTCGCTCCCTTGATTTGTGAGCACCTCCCCACAAGGCCCGAACTGGCACAGCACCTGTTCTTGGAACGCCTCTGCTATGAGTTTAGAGCTCTTGCTGGGCAGCGCACGCACCTCCAGCCACTTGCTGACGTGTTCCATCATGATATGTACCGATTTCCCTTCTGAGTCAGCGGCAGTTCCCTCGCCAGATCTACGGACCATCTGAACCCAAATCGGATTTCCTTGGCGGGTAGAAGTTGTAATTCCTGCTTGGCTTGCACCAGAGTTGCTGTACTTCCCCCGAATCGGAGCACCTTGAGGGGTAGAAATTGTAATTCTTGCTTGGCTTGCACCAGAGTCGCCGTACTTTCGTGGCAAGTCTTGCTCCACCGCCCATTCTCCGTCTCCGGACGCGGATCCGTCGAGCGAGGCGGTCCCATGATAAGTCCATCACGCGCTCTCTCGACATCCTTCCGCAGATCTGCCGCCAGACGGCGCAATTCCACCGCGTCTAAGCGGTATTTCCCGTTCTCGTACTCCACCTCCGGACGCGGATCTGGCGGCGATAGGCGCTTCTGAGACGTCTCAAGAATCAGATCAGGTGATCGGCGCTGTCCCATCACTCCGCGGCGCGGCTCGTCGTCGCCGCGTCCGTCTAGATCCAGCGCGCGTCGCGATCCCGAGGGTTCGTGGCGGTCGCCGCCACCACCGTCTTCCCCCTGCCGCCTCGCAGCCCCCACAGGCTGCTGCCGTCCACACAGGTCCTGCCGGCCAGATCGGGCTCCTCGCAGATCCCAAGGCGAGTTATTCGTCCCGCTCGTTCCTCGATCGAATATTCTGCTGCCATACCCAGCGCTACGATCGCCTGCTGCCTCCGGCCCGGTCAGCGGCTGGATCCGATCATCCGCACGCAAATTTTTCCTTGATCCGCCGCGCCATAACAGCTCCTCCTCGCCGCGGCGACGGACGAAACTCTGACTCCAGCGCAACTGGTGTTCGTCCATTCTTCCATTTCTACCGTACCTTGTGAACGAGTATTTGCACTCTACCAGAACGCCTTGGCTGCCCTAGGGGCCACTAGTCACCAAGCACTAAGGGCGAGGTAAACCGTCAAGCAAACAAGAGAGAATGGCAGGGACAGATGCACGCTGCTGCCCTCTTAGCTTTGAGGTCCATGCCCCGAAGCGCACATTTTCCAATGTGCGACCCCTGGTTTTGGATTCTCAGTGCTGATTGGTTACCGCAGTTCCCTCCCCCGAACGGTCTACTGAGTCCTGAGTTCTCCCCAACCAACTCCTCACCAAACTTCGCGTCAACATCCATTACTCGTGCCTCGTACACTACTTTCACCATAAACAATTCTCTTGTACTTGGTGGCAACCGTTTTTTTACAGAGCTGATTTCAGCAATATTATTATTACGTGTCATCTGCAGCGGTGTCCTAGAAATGTGGTGGCATAATGGCCCTCTCAGATCTCTGATTGCACCGAGCGCTTTAAACGGTGGAATTCTACTTAGTGATATGCTGACCATTAGGTAGAAGCCCCAATTGATTGTCCCATGAGAAACCAAAGTAACATTCATGCACGCACGCACGCACAACTACAGATGAAAGGACGGACACGCAGCCACAGCGCTCCACATCGCAAAGCAAATCAAATAACCATGATGACTGGAGGGATTCAGTTTGAAACCGAATCCCATAGGGACTCTCACTTGAGCCTTTAGCTGTGCGTTAAGTGGGCGAGAATCGTTTAAAGAAGCAATTAACAAGGTGTCATGTCAGTGGGAGGGTGATGGACGGTGCAACGACAGCCCAGCACTGTCTTGGTCCTGAGACTGCTCTTTGTGGGGGACAGTGTCAGCAGAACCGTCAGCAGAACCGTCAGCAGAAGTAGCAGCAGGAGAAGGCGTTGCGGTGGGATTTAACTGCCCTTCTACCCAGGCTTGCGGGTCAAGGGGGCAGGTGGGATGCAGAGGGGATGGCGCCCTGCCGTCTGCTGGGTCTGGTCGGGGAAAGGGGAGAAGGAGAGGGGAGGGGATGGAGAGGGGAGGGGAATGGGAGTGGGAGTGGAGAGTGGGGTGTGGGGATGCAGAGTGCACCAGACACGGATGGGAAGTGCTACTTCTGAGAACTCTCAACAGCACTAGTGAGATCACTCGAACGTCAAAAGTGATTGTGAGGCACTTTTGAGTAAAAAAAAAAAAAAGAGAGAGAAATGGTGCTGTGCTTGTGTGGTTATTGGCCATGGAGGGGAAGTGGTGCTGTGCATGCTCACTTGTAGAGGTTCTCAGCATGCGACATGTTCTGAGACGTCGCAAAAGAGGTGAGTGCATGTGGCGCTGACCTATGTGGAAAAGAGCTTCGGCCTTCGGTGATGGAGGGGAAGTGGCGTGGAGAGGACATGTGACGATGCATTTGTGCATGTGGTGTGGCGCTGACCTATGTGGAAGAGAGCTTCGGTGATGGAGGGGAAGTGTGTGTGACATGTGAAGACTCCAACCGTTGCACTGTACGAAGATTGCATTTGCATGTTTTGAGACGTCTCAAAAGAGGAGGTGATTGCAGTGCATGTGGCGCTGACCTATGTGACTTTTGAGTCGACTCAAAAGTCAACTCTTTTGAGTAGACTCAAAAGTCAACTCTTTTGAGTCGACTCAAAAGTCAACGTCTCAAAAGAGGAAGTGATTGCAGTGCATGTGGCGCTGACCTATGTGGAAGGAAGAAAGCTCTGGTGATGGAGGGGAAGTGGCGCTGTGGTTGTGTTGGTTAAGTGCTGGTGCGTGTGCGAGGGGGTTTTTGTGCATCTGGTATGCACGCACGCACGCACCTATGTGAAAGAGAGCTTCGGTGATGGAGGGGAAGTGGTGCTGCAGATGGTCCCGTGCAGCCAGTGCTATGTCGTGCGCTGCTCTCACTGTGAGCGATGGGTCCACCTGCAAGGAAGGGGCGGGAGAAGAATGGAGGGCAGGGGAGCGATGGGGGAAGAGTGAGGGAGTACAGTGAGGGGGAAGATTGAGGAAAGTGTGCGGGGGGAGTGGAGGAAAGAGAACGAAATGGAGAGTTTTTTTTGTTTTTTTTTGGAAGTCGACTCTGCTATGTGCGCCCCTTTTCCCCACCCCCCACCTCTATGTGCGCCCCTTTTCCCCATCCACCACCTCTATGTGCGCCCCTTTTCCCCATCCCCCACCTCTAAGTGCGCCTCTTTTCCCCATCCCCCACCTCTATGTGCGCCCCTTTTCCCCATCCCCCACCTCTATGTGCGCCCCTTTCCCCCCTCCCCCACCTCTATGTGCGCCCCTTTTCCCCATCCCCCACCTCTATGTGCGCCCCTTTTCCCCATCCCCCACCTCTATGTGCGCCCCTTTTCCCCCTCCCCCACCTCTATGTGCGCCCCTTTTCCCCTTCCCCCACCTCTATGTGCGCCCCTTTTCCCCCTCCCCCACCTCTATGTGCGCCCCTTTTCCCCATCCCCCACCTCTATGTGCGCCCCTTTTCCCCATCCCCCACCTCTAAGTGCGCCCCTTTTCCCCATCCCCCACCTCCTCGTGCGCCCCTTTCCCCTCCCCCACACCTCTATGTGCGCATCCACATGCAGCCATGGCCCCATGCGCCTGCCCTTTCCCCTGTCCCCTTAGTCCACATGCACATACCACTACCCTCGTCCCCCCCTTCCCCTCCCCTCCCCCTCTATGTGCGCATCCACATGCAGCCATGGCCCCATGCGCCTGCCCCTTTTCTCCCTTTCCCAATTCCCCCTTCCACCTCGTCCCCATTTCCTCCCGTTCCTCCCCCCCCCCCCCCACCTCTATGTGCGCGTCCACATGCAGCCATGGCCCCATGCGCCTACCTCTCACGCCAACCACCGCCCTATGCACATGCCCCTTACCCCAGCCCCTCCCTTTCCCTTCAGCACACACCTCTATGTGCGCATCCACATGCAGCCATGGCCCCATGCGCCTGCCCCTCAGGTTGTGACAGCCCTGGGGGGGAAGGTGGAGGTGTGGGGGAATGGCAAAAGGGGGAGGGGGGGAGGGGAGGAAGAGGGAGGGGAGGACGGGGGAGGGAAGGAGGGGAGGAAGAGGAGGAGAGGAGGAGAAAAGGAGGGGTAGAGTGGGACAGGTGCGAGATAAATTCAGTGGAGCAGGGAGGAATTCTGAAACGTGTAAGAACGAGCTACACTCTCATGCGGTTTTGTGAAAAAAAAGAGGTAGTGGTAAGAGGGATGAGGAGGGGGTGGGGTGGGGGGGGGGGTGTTGGAAGGTGGGGAGCAATACGTGGAAAACGTAGAACATAACATACTGGTTCTTTTTTCAAATGTCTCAAAACGTGGATAAGGAAAATAAGACAAGAAAAAGAACAGCACAGCACAGCACAGCTCAGTTCCAAGAAGTACAGACGCACCAGCACTCCAGGAGACGCAATGATCTGCGCTCTGATGGGCTCAAGAACCTTCTCAGAAACCCCCACATCCACGAGGTCTTGAATGCTGATTGTTGCATGATGGCATGATGACATGATGGCATGATGATGGGAGGAACCGGAAGGAAAGCGAAAGGAGGGGACTTTTGAGTCGACTCAAAAGTAACCCCCACATCCACGAGGTCCTGAATGCTGATTGTTAAATGATGACATGATGATGGGAGGAACCGGAAGGGAAGCGAAATGGGGGCGGGAAGGAAACAGGTGAATGGCAGAGGATTGGTTGTTAAACAATGTGACAAGAGACGGAAACAGGCTGAGGTGGGAGCCTCAACTCTTTACCAGAAATCATCTTTGTTTGCCTGCTTCTCTTCATCCCTCTCCCAACCCCTTTCCCTTCCTCTCTTCCCCACCTCTGGTATGAGTCGCTCACCAATGCTGCTGCCTGCGCTCTGGTGATCAGCCAGCCCTCAACTAGAAGAGCCAGGATTTATAAGTCAGTGCAGCCAACCATTGTTGTTGTTGTTGTTGTTGCTGTTGCTGTTGCTGTTGCTGTTGCTGTTGCTGTTGCTGTTGCTGTTGCTGTTGCTGTTGCTGTTGCTGTTGCTGTTGCTGTTGCTGTTGCTGTTGCTGTTGCTGTTGCTGTTGCTGTTGCTGTTGCTGTTGCTGTTGCTGTTGCTGTTGCTGTTGCTGTTGCTGTTGCTGTTGCTGTTGCTGTTGCTGTTGCTGTTGCTGTTGCTGTTGCTGTTGCTGTTGCTGTTGCTGTTGCTGTTGCTGTTGCTGTTGCTGCTGCTGTTGCTGCTGCTGTTGCTGTTGCTGTTGCTGTTGCTGTTGCTGTTGCTGCTGCTGCTGCTGTTGCTGTTGCTGTTGCTGTTGCTGCTGCTGTTGCTGTTGCTGCTGCTGTTGCTGCTGCTGTTGCTGCTGCTGTTGCTGTTGCTGCTGCTGCTGCTGCTGCTGCTGCTGTTGCTGTTGCTGTTGCTGTTGCTGTTGCTGTTGCTGTTGCTGTTGCTGTTGCTGTTGCTGTTGCTGTTGCTGTTGCTGTTGCTGTTGCTGTTGCTGTTGCTGTTGCTGTTGCTGTTGTTGTTGTTGTTGTTGTTCTTGTTCTTGTTCTTGTTCTTGTTCTTGTTGCTGTTGCTGTTGCTGTTGTTGTTGTTGTTGTTGTTGTTGTTGTTGTTGTTGTTGTTGTTGTTGTTGTTGTTGTTGTTGTTGTTGTTGTTGTTGTTGTTGTTGTTGTTGTTGTTGTTGTTGTTGTTGTTGTTGTTGTTGTTGTTGTTGTTGTTGTTGTTGTTGTTGTTGTTGTTGTTGTTGTTGTTGTTGTTGTTGTTGTTGAACTCATCAGCACTCAAGAGTCGTTGCTTGAGACGTCTAAGGGAAAACTATTCTCTGCTCTCTCCCTCCCCCCCACCTCCAGCATGCAATGCTGCCGCCTGCTTTGGTGATGAGAGCCCAGCCACGAAAAGAGCTCCGTTCTCTTTAGCTGCCTCAAAAATCGTTTCCTGTGGCCCCTAAAACAATCCCCCCCCCCTCTTCCCCTCCCCCCTCCCCCCACATTTCGTATGCAATGCTGCTGCCTGATTAAGTGATGAGCGCAGCCACAAAAAGAGCTGCGAGGGGGTCGAGAACAATGAGCAGGTGATGCAGTAGCAACAACGCCTGTCTGTCCCTCTCTCTACCTTTGTCTCTCTGCCTCCCACCTCTGGTACGCAATGCTGCCGCCTGCTTTGGTGATGAGTGCAGCCACAAAAAGAGCTGCGAGGGGGTCGAGAGTCGGCACGCCAGCCATTGCTCCTCCTGCCATGTGTACAATGAAGGGGGGACACGGGTGAGGGAGGATATGGGTGAGGGAGGATATGGGTGAGGGAGGATATGGGTGAGGGAGGATATGGGTGAGGGACACACACACACTGACTCATCCACACACTCACCCACTCACCCACCCACTCACCCACTCACCCACCCACTCACCCACTCACCCACCCACTCACCCACTCACCCACCCACTCACTCACCCACCCACTCACCCACCCACTCACCCACACTCCCTCCAGCACTCCCTCCCCTCCACCCACTGACGCCCAGTAGATCAGCAAGCGAGGCCACACACTCTCTTTCTTCCTTCACTCACTCACCCACTCACCCCACTCCCTCCCCACCACTCCCTCCCCACCACCGCCTCCCCTCCATCCACTGACGCCCAGTAGATCAGCAAGCGAGGCCACACACTCTCTTTCTTCCTTCACTCACTCACCCACTCACCCCACTCCCTCCCCACCACTCCCTCCCCACCACCCCCTCCCCTCCATCCGCTGACGCCCAGTAGATCAGCAAGCGAGGCCACACACACTCTCGCTCCCCTTCACTCACTCACCCACGCCCAGCAGTGCACTTTTGAGTCGACTCAAAAGTCAACCCTTCACTCACTCACCCACGCCCAGCAGTGCAGCAAAGGAAGAGACGGAGTCGCTGCGGTGGTGCCATGCATTGGCGCGCATGAGATGGTTGTCGTAGCGATCCGCCACCCACTTGGTCGCCCAGTACAGGCTGAAATAGGCCCAAGCGCGGGGAAATGGGGGTGGAACGGTGGAGAGGGAAGCAGGGAGGTAGGGAGGTAGGGGGAGTGATGGAACGGAAAGGAGTTGGGTGCATGAGATGGTTGTCGTAGCGATCCGCCACCCACTTGGTCGCCCAGTACAGGCTGGCATGAGAGAGGGAAAGAGGAGGGGAGAGCGTGGAGGTGGTCGAATAATGGGCCTGAAGTTGAAATTAGATGGTTTTGGTAGGGCCCGCCACCCACTTGGTCGACCAATACAGGCCGGCATGACGGGGGGAGTGGTGGGAGGGGGAAGTGGGGGGTAAATGGCTGGCCGCATGAGATGGTTGTCGTAGCGATCCGCCACCCACTTGGTGGCCCAGTACAGGCTGGCATGGACCGGAAACAAGGGGGAAACGGAGGTGGGAAGGGGGAAATGAGGGTGGGAAGGGGGGCATGGGAAGAGGGGAATTATAGGGTGATGGGCCACCAAGTCGGTTGCGCTCATCAGATGGTTGTCATAGCGATCTGCCACCCGCTTGGTCGCCCAATACAGGCTGGGATAGGCCCAAGGAAGAAGGGGTGGGAAATAGGGGGTGGGGGTGTGAAGGAGCTGAAGTCGTGCGCATGAGATGGTTGTCGTAGCGATTTGCCACCCACTTCGTCGCCCAATACAGGCTGGCAACGAAAGGAGGGGAATGGAGGTGGGGGGGGGGGCGGACGGGCGAGCGGGGAGGTGGAGTGGAGAAAAAGAAATCAGCTGGGTGGGTGCGTCAGATAGCTAATGTATGACGTAAGTATTGCTCTGCTCCGCCACCCACTTAGTAGCCCGATAACAGAGATCACAGAGCTTGATAGAGACTGCCTTCCTGCCCTGAACCACAGAGGAAGGGAAGGGAACACATGGTTCAAGTCAAGAAGGCAGCCCTCCTATGGCTCACCATGTGTTCAAAAGGGACTCGACTCACCTCTCTTTGAGCCCTATGGAAGCGCCTCAAAAATGGCTGCAGGTGCACGGTTTTGAGGCGCCTAAAAAAAATAATAAAAACACATGGTTCAAGAAGGCAGCCCTCCTATGGCTCACCATGTGTTCAAAAAAGACTCACCTCTCTTTGAGCCCTATGGATGCCACTGCTGCTGCTAGCGCCAACGGCATGTACTCTTGCCCTCCTGCCACATGCCCCAGGATTCCATGCGCATGCCCATGCCCATGTCCATGCCCCACCGCCCCTGCTGCTCCCCCTCCTCCTACTCCTGCGTCTCCTCCTCCTCCTGCTGCTCCTGCCAAGCCAGCAGCATCGCCAGCAGCTGCTGTACCGGCAGCACCCCCAACAGAAGCAGCGTCGGATGTGAGGAGATGATGCAGGTCGAGGGAGGCAGGGAGGAATTCCTGCAGCAGGTGCAGCGCGTGCCATGCCATGCCGCCTCCCGTGCCGATCAGGAGAAGGGACACGCCCAGCGCCCCCACTGTCTCAAACTTGCCGTGTCCTGCAGAGAAAGGCAGCAGGGGAGAGGAGGGGAGGGGAGAGGGGGGAAGGGGAGGGGAGGGGAGAGGAGGGGAGGGGAGGGGAGGGGGAGGGGAGGGGGAGGGGAGGGGAGGGGAGGGGAGGGGAGGGGAGGGGAGGGGAGGGGAGGGGAAGGGAGAGGAGAGGAGGGAATGGGAGGAAGCAGCGTCAGATGTGAGGAGATGTTGCATGTCGAGGGAAGCCGGGAGAAATTCCTGCAGCAGGTGCAGCGCGTGCCATGCCATGCCGCCTCCCGTGCCGATCAGAAGAAGTGACACCCCCAGCGCCCCCACTGTCTCAAACTTGCCGTGTCCTGCAGTGGAGAAGAGACGGAGGGGAGAGGAGAGGAGGGAGGAAGAGGGACATCAAAATTGGGAGAGGAGGGGGGATGAAAGGGGGGAGAGGAGGGGGAAGGAAAGGCAAGTGAATGCACGTTTGAACAGGGAAGGGAATGAACGAGAAAAAGGAAGAGAAGAGAAGTGGAAGGAGGAGAGAATGGAAGGGACGAGACCAGGGCGTACTTGTGAGCGTGCATTGTGCGACCATAGGAGGGTGGCTCAAGAGGGAATAGGGGGAGGGAAGGGGAGGGAAAGGGAAGGGAGAAGAGGCGCCTTCAATATCGTCTCACCGTAGGGGTGATTGCCACAGAAGCTTGTGAGGCGAGCTTTTGAGGCGCCTCAAAAGTCGCTTGCTTCTTTACTACTGTCAATCCTTTGCTGAAGAATTCCTCTGGACTGTACTGTAACCTCGACTAACAAGCTTCTATGGCCTTCAATATCGTCTCACCGTAGGGGTGATTGCCATAGAAGTTTGTTAGGCGAGCTTTCTTCTTTAATACTGTTAATCCTTTGCTAAACATTTCCTCTAAACTGCAGCAGCTCGCCTAACAAGCTTGTATGGCCTTCAGTATCGTATCGTCTCACCATAGGGGTGGTTGGCATCGCGGGGAACAGAGGCTGCCTGCACGGACCAGAGGGTCGCCCAACTGAGCACCTGGTGGTGCCATGGCAGGGATGGGTAGGCATGGGTAGGCATGGGTAGGGATGGGTAGGGATGGATGCTACACACCCATATCATGCATCCATGGATCAAATCCGTGTCATATACCCATACCATGCCTCCCACAACATGGCCCCCATACCATGCCCCCATACCATGAACCCCTTACCATGCCCCCCATACCACGCATGCCCCCATGCACCATGCCAATCTGATCCTTACCACATCAGACACGGAGTGGGCGGCATCAGCAATGATAGCAGCGTTACCAGACATCCACCCAGCCACGCCCTTGATCCCGTGCAGCATATCATCCACCCACACTTACCATCCATCCATACTCTGCCCCCATGCCATTCTCGCCCTTACCACATCAGACACGGAGTGGGCGGCATCAGCAATGATTGCAGCGCTACCAGACAGCCACCCAGCCACGCCCTTAATTCCCGTCAGCCCCACGTCCGCCCAGAACCCCACGCGAGTTATTGCCTCCGCCTCCTTGCGCCCTCCCCCTCCCCCTCCGCCTCCCCCTCCGCCTCCTGCTCCTGCTTCTCCGGTTTTACCCTCTTCCCCCGCGTTTCTCCCCCCGTGCACATGCCCATGCCCATGCCCATGCCCATGCCCATGCCCATGCCCATGCCCATGCCCATGCCCATGCCCGTGCCCGTGCCCATGCCCATGCCCATGCCCGTGCCCATGCCCGAAGCCCATGTGTGTGCGGCAGCGTCCGGGAAGAATCCAGAAACCAGGCGGAGGGGAGGTAGCGTGAGAGGCGGGAATGGAGCGTGACTCAAGGGAAGAAAGAGAAGGAAAGGAAGCAAGGAAAGCGTATGAGGCGAATGAGTGAAGGATGGGGGCTGTGTGGCCTTGTGAGGAAATCACAGAGGTAGAGGGGACTAGTGAGGGGACTAGTGTGGGAATGATGGGGATTGTGGGGCTGGAGGAAAGCCGCTCTGTATGTATGTGAGGGAGGGGAGGAGGGTGTGTAGAATTTGCGAGAGTGTGAAGGCCATGGCACTGGAATAGACGATTGCTGCCGCTGCCGCTGCCGCTGCCGCTGCCGCTGCCGCCGCTGCTGCTGCTGCTGCCGCCTCTTCTGCTTCTGCTGCCGCCCACCCGTCGGCGTAGAAGCGAGGAGAGAACCTCCCGGCCCCGACCCATCACGACACTTGTACTCGAAATAAGACTTCCTTCAGATTCTCAGTGCTGTGACTCGCCCCCCTAGCCCCGCCCCCCACCCGTGATTCTTTCGGATTCACAGCCTTCCGAGGGCTGGCGCGCCGAAAGGGGCGGGGAGCGGGCCTGCGGCTTTGCGGCCCAGGGCCGGAGCGCGCTTAGGGAAGAACGCGTGCAATTGCGTGACGGTCTGTCTGTATATGCCTCAACGGACAGATGCAACTGCCTGCCGCGCTCGGCCACGCGGTACAAGAGATGCGATCCCGCGACGAGACAGAGGCTCGGGGGACTGGTTGGGATAGGGCGACGGAATCGTGCGACGAAAATCAGCGACGGAATTGGGCGACGCGATCGGTAGAGGCGATCGGGAGACGCGATTCGGCGACGGGGCTTCTAAAATAAGGATTCCTACTGGTGGAGGGGAGGAAAGAAGAGACGGCGCATGCGAGCGTGACGGTGACTAGTTGCGACTGACTGACTGACTGACTGACTGAGACGACTAGGAATGCGGCTGGTGGAGGTTGTAATGTGCCATGCCGTTGTCGGTTTATGCATGCAAGAGAGAAATGTGCGCCCCAACATTTCCCCGACATTAGACAAAAGCTCGATCCTGTGCAAAAGTGACGAACTGAAGAATACATGCTAAGTAGGTCGAAGCTTCATTTCGAAACAAAATGATGTTAACAGATTTGACTACTTTGTCTTCAATCCAACTAGTTCCCTATTGATCTCCATTCCCCTCTTGCGCCCTTGCAATCTCCCTATATCTCCCGCCCATCGCTTCCAAAACCCGAATCCACATTCGTTCATTAACATCTTTCGCCTTCTTAAACACGCCCGCCGTCCCACCTTTATCAGACGCCTTACCTCCACCACTGGCCCCCGATCTCGCTTCCACCTCCTCGGACCACTCAGTCGGCCATCGGATCATTTCCGGTTCACAATCCGCTACATACCACCACCCGTTCTTAATCTCGTCCTCCAACTGCTTTGGCCCCCAGCTTGACACTCCCAGAAAGAACCAAAACTCCTCCGGAAACGTCATTCCGGCATCAATCAATCCCACGGCACGCACAAGCGGCGCCATAGTCCCCCAATAAACCCCCCGAAGCACCTCTTGAAACCCCGCAAAGGACGAGCGGCGGGTGAGGGCTGCGAAGGCGCTGGTGGGGTTGATTACTGGGCCGCCGAGGGAGAGGGGGGCGGAGGAGACGCGGGAAAGTAGCCAGTCTTGCACGCCGGAGACGAATTTCCAGGAGAGCGGGCGGTTGAGAACGAGGCCAATGGGACCGGAGTCGTTGAGAGAGAGCATTAGCACGACCGTACGCTCAAACATCTGCATGGGGAGGAAGAGGGGGAGGGGGGTTGAGGGGGGGAAGGGGAAGGTGGGGAAATTCTGAGCTGGATCATATAGCGGGCGGTTGAGGACGAGGCCGATGGGGCCGGAGTCGTTGAGAGAGAGCATTAGCACGACCGTGCGCTCAAACATCTGCACGGAAAGGGTGCGGGAGCGGAGGGAAGAAGAGGGGTGTTGAGGTGCCTCCATGAGCGGGAGGTTTAGGACGAGGCCTATGGGGCCAGAGTCGTTGAGAGAGAGCATGAGCACAACCGTGCGCTCAAACAACTTCACGGAGTGGGGAGAGGGGGAGGGCAAGTTGGGCGGGAGGAAAGGGAGGTGGGTTCTGTTGTGTGTTGTGCATTATTGAGGGGGTTGAGTGAGGCTTGATAGTACAGCAGCTGGTAAATAATCCTGTCTGCGAGCACAGAGAACTGTCTACTAAGGAATTGGGCTGGATTTCAGTTATTTTCTTTCTATGTTTTGTTGAGATGGTAAAGAACAAGCGTACATTGGCACAGCACGCAGTGGGAGCGGACTTACAGGGGAGCTTATGAGGTCCTCTGAAGCAACAAGGAAGGACCCAGCAGTTGGCTTGTCCACAGCGACACATTGACGCGCTTCCCCGTCACTGCCACCACTGCCGTTACTACCTCCGCCTTCACTCCCTCCACCGGACCTACTACCTCCCTCTCCACTCCCCCCACTAGTGCCCCCACTAGTGCCCCCACTAGAGCTACCTCCCTCATCAGTATCTGCTCCCTCATTATGCTCATGATGATGTGACTCAGCAGCAGCAGGCTGTTGAGAGGCAGTGGGGTCGGTTGGCAAAGAGGTGCTGTCTGGGTGTGTGGGAGGAGTCTTAGCAGAGGAGGGAGTAGGTAGAGCACCTTCACCCCCAGACACCACAGCAGCGGGAGCAGGAGAAGCAGCCGCAGCCGCAGTGTGGGTGGAATCAGGGCCAGAAATAGGGGGAGGAGAAGGAGACAGATTTCCTTCATCTTGTGTTTTACCCTCTAAGTGCAGCACTCCATTCCTCCCTTCCCCACTCTCAGTCTCACCCCGCCCCTCCCTCCCCTCCTCCTCCTCCTCCTCGCCCTCCTCCTTGGTAGAACTCTGTTTGCCCAGGTCCTTCTCCTTCTCTTCACCTTCCACCCTTTTCTCTGCTTCCTCCTCTTCTTCTTCCTCTCCATCTTCTCCTTCTATTCCTCCGTCTTCCTGATCTGCAGCCCCCTTTTCCTCTGCTGCTTCTCCAGCCGCTCTCTGCCTCTCCCCACCCATCTCCACCGCTCCCTCTGCTGATGCAGCCTTGCTGTCTTGGCTGAATGGCTGGTGCGGCCACGATGCCCCACCCACCATGGTCGGGCGTTCGCGTGTGGCTAGTAGGACTGAAGGAGGGGGGCGAAACGGGGGGAGCAGAGAGATTTGCCCGTCCTGGGTGAACGATGGTGGGCCCAGGATACCCCACCCACCATGGCGGGGCGTTCCCATGTGGCTAGTAGGACTGGGGAGGGAAGAGAAGGGGAGGAAACGGAAAGATTCTTAACTCAACTTATTGGCCCACCATGGCATGTGGGCCTCTATACATCAATGGCACACTTGCATCCTTCCCCCTTCCTGCCCCTTTCCCCTCTCTGCAATTACCTTGTAAGATTTGAGAGGCACCGGCGGGAGGGAGGGCGGTGTGGTTGAGCAGGAAGGCGATGAGGGGCCGCACTGCATGTGGGCCTCTGTACATCACTGGCACACTCGCATCCTTCTCCCTTGCCCTTCACTCAATGCACTTTACCTTGTAAGATTCGCGAAGCAGCGGCAGGGGGAAGGGCGGTCTGGTTGAGCAGGAAGGCGATCAGCGGCCGCACTGCATGCGGGCCTCTGTACATCACTGGCACACTCGCATCCTTCTGCATTGCCGCCCCTTCTTGAGGCGCCTCAACACATAACTGGCTGGCACACTTGCATCCTTTCCCCTTGCTTCCCTGCACTTACCTTGTAAAATTCGAGAGGCAGCGGCGGGGGGGAGAGCGGTATGGTTGAGGAGAAAGGCAATGAGCGGGCGCACTGCGTGTGGGCCTCGGTACATCACTGGCACACTCGCATCCTTCCCCCTTGCTGCCCCTTCCCCCTCCGCATAACCCTCTTCATCCTCCTCCTCATCCTCCTCCTCCTCCTCTCCCTCATTCTCGTCCTCCTCTTCTGCTTCCTCGTGCCCCTCCCCTGCATCTTTCCCTACATTCCGTCCCTCCTTTGCCACCTCTCTCTCCTTGCCCGCCCCCTCTGTATCCCTCGCTCCCATCTCCTCATTGCTCTGCAATCCCCTCACCACCTCCCCCTCTCCCTTCCTTACCCCGTCTCCACCACCCTCAGCTGCAGCAGGGGCAGCAGCAGCAGCAGTAGCAGCAGCAGCAGCAGCAGGTATGGAAGGTGTGGTGGAGTTGAAATGGTTAGGCGCATCAGCAGAAGGATGAGCGGGTGTGGAAGAAGAAGGAGAAGAGGAAGCGGTGTTGGTGGCGTTCGAAGCAGGATCAAGGGTGGTGGTGGTGGTGGTGGTGCTTGCAGTGGGTGGGGGAAGTGTTGGCAGGGGAGGGATCAGCGCGACGACAGGGAAGGCTGATATCTGCACAACACAGGGCGGAGGGGGAGGGAGGTGGGAGTAGGGAGGAGGGACGAGGGACGAGGGACGAGGGAGGAGGGACAAGGGAGGAGGGAGGAGGGAGGAGGGAGGAGGGAGGAGGGAGGAGGGAGGAGGGAGGAGGGAGGAGGGAAGAGGGAAGAGGGAGGAGGGAGGAGGGAGGCGGGAGGAGGGAGGAGGGAGGAGGGAGGAGGGAAAATACGGATTCAGGAAACAAAGGCATAGGGAAAAAACGGCAAGTGGAAGAATGAGGGTGAGCATGAGGAGGGCTGATGGGAGGATGAGGGCTCATGGGAAACATGCATGTACAGGTAACCATTGGGTCAACTGTCAACCCTTTGCCAGAGTATGGCAGCAGCACATAGTGCATAATGGCAGCCAGACACTAACAGACCAGTTTATCTCTCTGAGACGACCATAGTTCTGATGAACAGGTTTGACGCGGGTCAAATTGCGAGAGGCACGCATTGGAGAGTCAGTCATGGCTCGCTTCGCTTGCAATCACGTCGTTTAAGGCGAAGTAGGTGCCCTACTCGCCCACCTGCCAGTAGGGCAACAGCACGTCGTGACAGTCGTTTACAGAGCAGTCGATCTGCAGCAGACGAGGCAGGTACGACAGCCACGACTGCACATCCACAGTCGCTTCCGCCTCCGCCTCCTCAACCTCCTTTTCCACTAACAGCTCTCCCTCCCCACTCGTTCTCCTCCCCTCGGTGCCCTGCTGCACATCACTCGCAGCACTATCTGCTACAGCTGCTCCTGCCACTGTCTCTGTTTGTCTCTCAGTTGATGCTCTTTGCTGTTGCTGCTTCTTCTCCTGCTGGTGGTGCTGTTGCTGCTGTTGCTGCTCTTGCTGCTGCTGTGCTGGCACTGACACGTGAATGGCTGCAAAATAATACGAGGAGCAAAGAAAAGGTATTGAAGAGCCACCCTCAAGCCTGCAGGAAAATTGCACTGTGAACAGAGTGCTTACTTGACATACGCCACACCAAATGCACGACAAAACAGTTGATTGAGTGTGGGAGACCCAAGCCAAGCGCAAAAAGCCACACAGTTCAAATCCTTCTGCGCATCTCAAAGCAAGCCAAGTGACTTTTGAGTCGACTCAAAAGTCATCGTTCTGCGCATCTCAAAGCAAGCCCCGTTACAATCTCGGCTGCCGAACGTATGATAACTGTGCAACACCATGGCTCTCTCTCTCGCGACTAAGCTCAACTTGAACGTCTCAAAACTGGATCCAGCAGGCCTTTCTTTACAAACGGAACATCTACCGGAATAGGTGGTCCTTGAGAGTTCTCAAAAATTCGCTAGCCTCAATCTGACCTGCTGGGAGCATGAGCAGAGCGCGGTGGGCCTCTCGGAATGCGAGCTCGATGCGCCGACAGAAGCCACACCAGGGGGTGGTGAGTAGTAGTGCCAGAGGCCGCGCGTCCACCTGATAAGAAGAAGCTGCAGCAGCAGCACCAGTGTTTTGTGCATGCACTTGCTGCTGTTGCTGCTGCTCCTGCTTCTGCTGCTGCTGTTGCTCCTGCTTCTGCTGCTGCTCCTGCTTCTGCTGCTGTTGCTGCTCCTGATGATTCCCTGAGTCCTCCTTTCCTCCACCGTCCCCTCTCCTGACTTCCTCCTTCAACCCTGCCTGTTGCTGTTTCACCTCCCTCCGCCATCTCCTCTGCCGCCTCCCCAAACGCCGCTGCTCCCGCACCCACCGTTGCTGCTGCCGCCACCGCCGCCACTGCCCCATCACCCGCTCATGCTCCCCCCGCCGCTCCCGCAGCAGGTGAATAAAATCCTGCGCACACACCCTCTCCACCCCCTCAATCTCCCGGAAATCCGTGTTGAGAAACGGCACAGGGGGAGTGTGGCGGGGGGGAGGGGGGCGGGGGGAGGAGCGAGAGGATCGCTGCACTCGGCCCTGTAAGATTGCGCGGAGGAAGGAGAGGAGAGATGCTGCGTCCGTGGGAGTGCCAGGGTAGAGGAAGACTGAGTCTTGCGAGGGGTGGAGGACAGCGAGAGCAGGGAGGTCGGCAGAGAGTGGGGGAGAGGGAGAGGACGTGGGTGCGGAGGAGGAAGAGGGATTAGAGGTGGACGAGGGGGAAGAGGGGGAAGAGGGGGAAGAGGGGGAAGAGGGGGAAGAGGTGGAAGAGGAAACGTTGGAGGAGGAGGAGGTGGGGGAGGAAGAGACGGAGGGAGGTGCATGCGCAGGGAAGGGCGGGATGAGCCGGTCTCTTAGAGCGTCATCCCGGTCCACAATGAAGAAGGAGAAGGGCAGGTCGTCTATCCACTTCTCCTCCGCCTCTGGCCCCATCAGATCCTCCCACTCCACTGCATGCGCCTCCCTCTCTCTATTCTCGCTCTCCCTCTCCCTCTGTTCTTCCCTGTCATTACTCTCACTCGCTCTCGCCTTCTCCTCCGCCTCTGGCCCCATCAAATCCTCCCGCTCCACTGCACCAGCCTCCCCCTCACCACTCTCACTCTCCCTCTCGCTCTCACTCTCTTTCTCACTTGCTTTCTCCCTCTCACTCTGCCTCTCCCCTTCACCATTCTCATCCTCACTCTCCCTCTCGCTCTCGCCCTCGCTCTCACTCTCCCTCTCCCTCTCACTCTCACCCTCCCTTTCCTGCACACTCCCAATCTCTGCTTCGCCACTGGTAGGAATGGCACCAGTGCCAGCACTCGCAGAAGCAGCAGCAGCAGAAGCACCGCCACCACCAGCAGTAGCAGCAGCAGCAGCAGGGTCATCTTGGGTTACCCCTTCTCGATCATCAGTCCCTGCTTCCGACACCTGTTGCAGTGGTCGGCAAACGCCCTCGCTACCCTCCTCCTCCTCCATTCTACACTTTGCTTCAACCTCCTCACCTTTCCCCTCCTCCCCCTTCTTTTCCTTGCTCACTCCTTTCTTGTCTCCCTGCCTTACCTTCCCATCACTCAACACATTCAACCTAAAAGCCCCCGATTCTGCACCCTCCAATTCATTATACGCCTCCCTAACTCCGTTGCTGCCATCGCCACTAAGAGCCTCATCCGCATCTTTCACATGCTCTTCCCTCTCCTCCGTAATCTCCCCATTCCCAGCATCAGCTTCATTGTTTCCACTTATACAACGCTCTTCCTTCTGCACAATCTCCCTCCTGTAATCAGTTACTTTATTCCCACCTTCAGAATGCTCTTCCTTGCCCTTCTTAATCACCCTAGTCCCATATTCATCTATGGGTTGCACCCACTGATTCCCCCCACGCTGCTGCCCCTGTTCCTGCACCACTGCTTGCTGCTGCTTCTCTTGTTGCACCTCTGCATCGTGTTGCCTCTCTCCCTCTTCTTGAATCTCTCCCACCTTTCCTTGCTGCTGCACCTGCCCCTGTTGTTGCATCGCGGCTCGAAGCACTGACCCCAGATCACCAGCCGCAAGCTCCTGTGGACCCAACTGTATCGTCACTACGTGTTGCTGCTGCTGCTGCTGCTGCTGCTGCTGCAGTACTTGCACCTGCACTCCTTGCTCTGCCTGCTGCCCTTCCTGCGTCTGCTGCTGCAACTGCTGCTGCACCTGCTGCAATATTCCCCCCTGCGCTCTCTCCTTCTCCTTCTGCTGCTGCTGCTGCTGCTGCTGCTGCTGCTGCTGCTGCTGCTGCTGCTGCTGCTGCTGCTGCAGCGCAGCACCCAACCCTTGCAACCCTCCTTGTTGCAACGCGTGTTGCAGCACCTGCAGCAGCCTAGCATCCGCCCTCACAAGACCTGCGCCTCCTGCCCCCGGCCCCCCCATCCTTCCTGCCCCTCCCCCATCCTCAAGCACCAACTGACCCCCCTTCTTGTCTTCTACCCCTGTTCCTCCTTCCCCTCCTCCTCCTCCTCTCTCTCCTCCTCCCCCTGCCCTTTCTCCTCCTCCTCTACCATGAAGAGTCGAAGCAGATTTAGCTGCAGCATCAGCAGCATCTTGGGCAGTAGAAGCAGTGCGATTGGCCCCTGAAGCAGCTGCACGTTTCCTCATTCGTGCTGCTGCAGCCACGGCAACAGCTGCTGCTCGTCGTTTCACCTCCTCCTCTCGTGCAAACACCCGTGCCACTCTCAGAAGAGCGTCAGCAGCAGCAGCAGTCGCCGCTCCTGCTGCTTCTGCTGCTGCTGCTGCTGCTGCTGCCGCTGCTGTTGGTGCTGCTGCTTCTGGTGCTCCTGGTGCTGCTTCGTTGCCAACAGTGGAGGAGGTTGTGGTTGCTGCTGCTGCTGCTGCTGCTTCTGCAGCTGCTGCTTTGGCTGCTGATGCTGTTGAAACGGCTGAGAACGAAGAGGAGGAAGACTTGGGAGTTGCGGGAAGAGAGGCGGGGATGGAAGAGTCTAGGAATAGAAGCACAGACGGGCGCTTGGAGTTGAAAGATGAGCTGTAGGCGTCCGGGGTAACCTGAACAAGAACACGATATAATCAATCAAAGTGAAAGGGAAGGGCGGAGTTTAAAAAAGGACGGCATATGAAACAACTGCATTGCAGAAGCAAAGGTTCATGGGCAAGGTGTTGGGCGAGAATACTCGTGGCACGCAAGCAACCACGCTTTGCACGCGAAACAGGGCTTCTTACAGAGAAGCGAGCTGCGATGCAGGGATGCAAACCGTGATGCAAACAGTGGCAAGGTATGTTTTTTGAGAATTCTCAAGAAGCGAGCTGCAATGCAGGGATGCAAACCGTGGCAAGCAAGCAATGACATGAGCAGCATTCTAGACAGAAACACGAACCGCATCACCCAGCAATCTAGCAACCCCCAAGGGCTATTGCACATCTGAAAAAAAAAAAGACAGCTTGGGAGGCGCGCTCCAGCCAAGAGGACTCAAGAGATTCACGAGTGAGCAAGTGGACTGTGGAACGTACCTCCTGAACAACAGGTCGGGGAAGCTTTTGAGTCGACTCAAAAGTCACCTCAGCCAAGAGGACTTAAGGGATTTCCGAGTGAGCAAGTGGACTGTGGAACATACCTCCTGAACAACAGGTCGGGGAAGCTTTTGAGTCGACTCAAAAGTCACCTCAGCCAAGAGGACTTAAGGGATTTCCGAGTGAGCAAGTGGACTGTGGAACATACCTCCTGAACAACAGGTCGGGGAAGCTTTTGAGTCGACTCAAAAGTCACCTCAGCCAAGAGGACTTAAGGGATTTCCTAGTGAGCAAGTGGACTGTGGAACATACCTCCTGAACAACAGGTCGGGGAAGCTTTTGAGTCGACTCAAAAGTCACCTCAGCCAAGAGGACTTAAGGGATTTCCGAGTGAGCAAGTGGACTGTGGAACATACCTCCTGAACAACAGGTCGGGGAAGCTTTTGAGTCGACTCAAAAGTCACCTCAGCCAAGAGGACTTAAGGGATTTCCGAGTGAGCAAGTGGACTGTGGAACATACCTCCTGAACAACAGGTCGGGGAAGCTTTTGAGTCGACTCAAAAGTCACCTCAGCCAAGAGGACTTAAGGGATTTCCGAGTGAGCAAGTGGACTGTGGAACATACCTCCTGAACAACAGGTCGGGGAAGGCTCTGCATCCAGTCTTCTACGGACAGGGTCTCTCCGGACTGCTGCGGTTCCGATGGCCATGGGTATTCAAACCACCCTCGCGCCCTCCCCACCTTCTCCGCTTTAGCCTCTGCTAGCTTCTCAAGCATTGCTTCTTTCTGCTGCCCTTCCTGCTTCTCCTGATGTTGACGCTTTTGGTTTTCCCCCAGCACTCGTTCCTGCTGCCCCTCCTGCTGATCCTCCTCTTCCTGCTGCTGCTGCTGCTGCTGCTGCTGCTTCTGCAGTTGCTGCTCTTGCTGCCCCTCAATCTCTTGCCTCTCGTGCTGTCTAGTGTTTTCTTCCTCTACTTTACCACGTCTTGTGATCATCACACCACCGCCATCACCACCATCCTCACCCCTATTGTCACCATCATCCTTATCATCCTTCTCCCTATCACGCCCCGCCTCAACTCTACTCCCTGATATCTCCTGACTCACATACAGTTCCCTCCCCCTTCCCTTCACTAAACCCCCCTCCTCTCCACCTTCCTCCCAACCATCCTCTCTCTCTGTTTCCATCCACTCTCGGCCATCCCCCCCACGCTCACTCTCCCCATCCCATCCGTCTATATCCCTCCCTCTTCTAACAAATGCCACCAATCGCCACCCAAGTTCCCCAAGGCCTCCCCCCAGTGCTGCCCCGACTGTCCTTCCTCTTGTGGCTGCTGCACCAGCAGAAGTATTACCACCACCACCACCACTAGCGGCAGCAGCAGCACCACTACCAGTAGAAGCATCAATTGCTCCCGTCCGCATTGCACCATAAACCTCCCCCACACCCACCCCACTCCCGTTCCCCTGCTCCCACCCATTCACCTTCCCCAGCACCTGTGCGGCAAGAAGAGGGTCTGAAACGAGCACAACCACAGCCTGGGAGGGAGTCAGCGCGTGCCCCTGCACCACTGTCTTCAACTCTCCCACCACACGCTTCAACTCCTTCCTCGCATGCTCGCTCCCACACTCCACCCACCCCCCTGACAGTGCCGCCGCGGATTTCGATAATGACGATGACGCTCCTTCCGTTACCCGCTTCTGGGGCTCCTGAGGTTCCCCCTTCAGGTTCTTCTCTGAAGCTTCAGGCGATCGATCCTCAGAAATGCCCTTCGGAGGTTCTTCTGAAGGCTCCTTTGAAGGTTCTTCTAAAGGTTCCTCCAGCTGTTCATCTCGCGTCTCCCCTGCCCTATTCTCTCCTGCACCCTTTGGCCTATCATCGACGCCGCTCACTAACTTGTTCACTGCACCACGTGCAGGCCCCTCAGTCAACTCAGCAGTAGCAGCAGCAACCCCCTCATGGGAGCTCTCCTCGCCGTTGCTTCTCACCACACCTCGTTCCGAGCCTTGCCCTGGGCCTTGTTCCAAACCTTGCTCCGGGCCTTGTTTAAAGCTTTGTTCCGAGGCTTGCTCTGAGTGCCCCTCTTCCTCCTTGCCTTCATGAACAGTGCACTGCATCAATGCAGGTGCCTCTTGTGGTGGTGGCGATGATGCTCCTTCACCCATGTCTGCCTCACAAACAGGCCCCTTGCTACTACTCACTGCCACAATTCCCTTCCCTTTGCTCTCCTCCTTACCCCTGCTCTCCTTACCCCTGCTATCCTCACCCCTGCTTTCTTCTCCCTGGCTCTCCTCCTTCCTGCTATCCTTACCCATTCTCGCTTCCATCCCCTCCTCTCTCTCCTCCTCGTCCCCTTTCTCCTCCCTTCTCCCTTCTTGCTCCTCTCCCCCCTCCCTCCTCTCCCCCTTCCCCTCACCCCCACCACGCGCCCCATCCCCAAAAAACTCCTCATACCACCCGCACCGCTCCACAAGCGCCAGCACCACTCTCGACCCATTCCCAACCCGTACCAACTCCTCCCAGCTCCCGACCCTCCGAATCGGCAGCCAATCCTCCTGGATCGCCATCCCACGCGCCACAGCCTGCAACACGTGGCGCGCTGTGAGTGGCCCGCGGTAAATAAAGCTGCTCCCGGCACGAAATAAGTGAACGGCCGGGAGGGAGAGCTCTTTGTTGGCCATGAACTCCTTCTCGCGCTGGTAGTTGATCCACCGCAGCGCCAGCGGGTGCGGCGGGGCCGTGACTGTAGCGGGCGCTGTTCCACTGTCTATCGCAAGCTTGATCTCCTTCATCAGCCGCTGGGAGGCGCCACACCCTGGGGGGGAGGGGAAGGGGGGAGGAGAGGGGAGGGGTGTCGACTTTTGTGATGTCTCTAGAGCAGTCTTTCGCAAGACGCTGTGAGGGGACGCCCAACACTCTGGGGGGAGGGGAGAAGGGGAGGCGGGGGAGGGGGAGCAGGGAGGAGGTGGAGCATGGGGGATAGAAGGAATCGGTGAAGAGGCAAGGGGAAGGCCGGAACGGGCAGGAAGACGGAATGGTTACAGAACAGAAAGAGATTCGACAAAACCCACACATCTACACACAAGAACACAAGCACATGGTCACATTGCCCTCGCTCCCAAGTTGACTTTTGATTTGACTCAAAAAACAAGCACATGGTGGCACTGCCCTCCCTCCACCACCCACCCACACACCACACACACACACGGACTCACATGGCACAGTGATTTCTACAACGTCCTGAAAATCGAATGCAAACACATAATCACACTAACCATCCCCACCCACCCCGCACACCCCCTCTCCACCCATCCCCACCCACCACACACACAGGGACACGGATTCACATGGCACAGTGAAAACACAGTGCATATAGTGATTGGTCAACAGTTGCTGGTCACAAGTACACAGCATGGCCACACTGCCCTCCGTCCCTCCCACCCACCCACCCACCACACACACAGCGGCAAGGCCACACACACGGACTCACATGGTACGGTGATGACACAGAGGATGTAGTGATTTGCCGACAATTGCTGGTCATATGAGAAACGGTTCATCAGCTCCCACCGCCCTGCTGCTGCTGCCGCTGATGCCGATGCTGCTGCTGCTGCCTTTGCCTTGGTGCGATGGGGTCGGGACCGGGAGGGTGGGGAAGCAGAGGCGGAAGAGGAGGAGGGGGGTGAGGAGGAGGAGGAGGAGGAGGAGGAGGAGGAGGAGGAGGAGGAGGAGGAGGAGGAGGAGGAGGAGGAGGAGGAGGAGGAGGAGGAGGAGGAGGAGGTAGAAGAAGTGGAGGAAGGGGACGAAGAAGTGGAGGAGGAGGAATCTGAATGGGATGAAGAAGGGAGTGAGGGAGAGGAGGAATCGGAGTGAGTCAAGGAGGAAGGGCAGACAGGGGGAGGAGAGGGAGACGCGGGAGGAGAGGGGGTTGATGGGACAATGGCAGCGGAGAGTGATTTTTCATGAGAGGAGCGGGAGGGAGAATGCGAGGGTGAATGCAGGGAGGATGGATGAGACGAGGGAGGTTCAGTAGATGGTGATGATGATGATGCTGGTGCAGATTCTACTGCTGATGGTGATGGTGATGATGGTGATGATGTTGATGCAGATGCTGCTGCTGATAGTGATGGCGATAGTGATGGTGAAGAGGGGGATGATGCTGGTGGTGGTGGAAGGCTGGGAGGTGCAGAAGCCAGAGAGGCAAGCCCAGGAGTTGCTTGCAACGAATCGTCACTGCTGTCTGCTAATTCTCTCCTATCAATACGGCTGCTGCTGCTACCGGCCTCTTCATGTGTCTCCCCCATCACAAGCACACTGTGACTTGTCCATGGGGCGAGAACGAGGATCAGGAGGAGAAGGTGGAGAACGGGCACCCAGGGAAGAGGTAGGATTCGAGTTCGGTTCAAAGGAGTGGACACGGCTGTTCTAGAACCACCATCGCTATATGGACTGCTACAGGTACTGATACCAGAACTTTCCCCAGCGCAGTTGCCAGCACGGTTACCAGCACAAATCAAACCAGCACTTTGACCTATCCAAGGCATGTACACTCTATAAGCAGGCGCGATTTTGTGCCCAAGAATCCCTGCTGCTTGGCCTTGTGCTCTACGGTTGGTACAGGGGGGAGAGAGAGGAGGGAGGGAGGAGTGCCGGCTTCGCCTGCTGCTACCTCCACAATTATTATCACATGCAGGGTTACTAGCCCCCATGGTGCTGCTGCCGCTAATTGTGCCCATCTTGTTCCTGCTGCTGCGGGTCTTGGCGGTGGTGGTGGCAGGCAGCGGTGCTAATAGTGCTGCTGCTGCTGCCACTCTTTTCCGACGCTGCTAGCGCTGTCGTTGCTCTTTCCACTCTTTTCTCCAGCTTCTGCGTGAGTTGGCTCCTCCGGTCATCCTCCCAACTTCGCGCTCCCCACGTCAGCCTGTCGGCGTCAAGCTGTGTCAACTCGTCGCAGGCACCTCAATTCGTACTCCTCGTAAAATCACATCTCCTAACGCGGGATGCAATCCTTTACTATATGCCTCAGAACGGGCTCGGCACTAGGAAATCACGTTAGCAATTCAGAAAGTAACGGATCGCTCATGGGATAAACGCGACGCGATAAGAACACCTCGATCTGATCCCAGGTGACAAATCACCCCGCTAAAAGCTGCCGCTTCCCCCGTGATCCGTAACGAATATACTGTAACTCTTTGTCCCTTTCGAGTGCGCGCAATTGTGTGGTTACCACGCAACCAAGCGGCGCTCTCGCATTCCCACAGCTTCGCTTCCCAGGTAGCAGGTTCGTGACTCCGCGATAAACAATCTCGTTAATCTCTCACTTCGGACTTGAGCACGAATTACGTCATCAAGACATCAGCACGTTCCCACACGATTGGTGCCTGATATTCCCCAAGCACCGTCCGCAGAATGCGCTCGTCTGCGACGCAAAAATAGACGAACAGCTAGTACGTTACGGCATGGTTCCTGGTAAAATAAGCGCTTCGGATTCACGCTGTACCTAAGGTGAAAGACCAATCTGGTCTTGGATTCGCAGATTCATGCCTTAGGCTTGAGCTTGCCTTGGGATCTGTTTGAAGGGTGGAGGGTTGGTTGGCAGGTTGCAGAAATGAAAGTTGGAATCTCGCGACTGGATCCGACATATACACATTCTTTAGCAGAATACCGCCCTCATATAGTTGCTACTTTCTTTATTCTCAGCTACATTGCAGAAAAATGAACCGTCGAAGTGATTGGAGCTATTTATTCCCGTGGGCATACCCGATATAGACTGTGCCTTGAACATGCACATTATACAATGGACTCAGGTGGCCACAGGTGAACGAACCTCTCAAGGTGTTGGGAAGGGCGTGTTTTGGCACAATAGAGTACCATACCCAAACTACCTACAGCTCTCTAAACCGTAAACGAACCATTTGAGCCGCATTCAAACGAATTTTCAAGAGGCGGCCCGAAGGCGTGGAACATTTCACAGCCAGCACAGCACGCGCACCAGAAAAAAACTTTTTGGCTGGCAGAGACGAAGCGCAGCCAAGGACCGTCGACTCACCAGCCATCAGTAATTTCCGCCATAGCAGCAGCAGCAGCACTACACATTGCCAGTGTAATACATATCCGTAGCTGCATCTATCCCCCCGCATTTCCCGGCTCGTCGCTCATGCTCCGCCACCCGTCGGCACCGCCGCTCCTGCTGCTCTGCCTCCTACTAGCTCTCTCCTTTCGCGGCTCGCCTCCGCTGCACCCGCGGCTCGGGACTGCTCCGAACCATGCTGCTACCTCGTGTGCTGTCGCGATCGTCGCGGCAGCAAGCGCAGTCCCCGCGAGTCAGAATCTCTTTGCGACATTTGAGGCGCCGCAAAAGTCGGCAGCAAGCGAAGCCCCAGCGGGTCAGGTCCCCTTTGCGGTCAGGACTGCTCCGCTAAATGTGGACCCGGTTGCGAATTCCGTCGCAGAAGCTGTCGCAGGGGTAGTCACGAAGCCAGTCGCAGACGCTGTCGCAGTGTCCCGGCGACGGAAGGGCCTGGAGGAGGGCGGGGGAGAAGGGGAAGCGCAGCAGGTAGTGGGGCGCGTGGATGCGATAGAGGCGGAACTGGCGCAGGCGGAAGGGGGAGTCGGGGAGGAAAGGGGAGCGGAAAGGGAAGGGAAGGCGGAAAGTAGAGGGAGAATAGAGGCAGACAGAGGTGAAAGTGGGGAGGCGGAAGGGGGAGGGGAAGGGGAGGACGAAGGCGGACGGGGTGAGAGCGAGCAGGGACCGCAGGCAGCAGGGGGGGGGCAGCGCGCAAATCTTCCCCCCTCCCCCTTCCCCCAGTCCCGCGGCCCGCTCCCCCCGTCGTGGATGCCCGTGCCCGCGCGGCGCCTGGGGTGGGCGGCGCAGAGCGCGGCGCTCCCCGTGATCGCGCTGGACCTCTTCAACACGCACCTCCGCGCGCCCCTCCACATGCGCTGCCACGGCCGCGCCTGCCCCGCCTTCTCCCCGTGCGGGGACACCTTCGGGAACGTCGCCGCCTGCTGGAACCCCGAGCTCTCCGCGGATCGGCGGATGAACATGCGCGCGCCCGTCAACTGCCCGCGCGTGCAGGGGGGCTGGCGGAACGCGACGTGCGCGCACGCGGAAGACCTGGACGCGAGGGACGCGGTGGCCTTCCAGGTGGGTTTCAGGTGGCCTTTCAGGTGGCCTTTCAGGTGGGCTTCCAGGTGGGTTCCCATGTGGGTTTTTCTGTGCCCAAAGCACTAATGTTCAAGCCCTTAACAAAAGAAACACCCTTTCAGCCCTGAAATTTCCCCACCACCACTGCAGGCGTTCCGAGTGCACCACGTGTTTGTGTCCAACCTCGGGTTTGTCTTCAACCGCACGCACCGCTTCGTGCGCAACGGCTGTGGGGCGTACCAGAAGGTGAGAGGCACGAGGTAGCAGCAGGAGGTGAGTCACGTCGTCTGGTGCTGCTGCAGGCTAGCGCTAGCTCGCAGTGAAGTGTATTTTGAGGCGCCTCAAAATACACGTCCTCATACCATTTCTTTTGTTTTGCTGCCACCACCACCATGCATTGCTGTCGAAATCTTCTTTCTGAATGCGGCCCGTCTTTTCCTCCCCGCTCCCTCTCCCCCTTTTTCAACTTTCCTCAACTTTCCCCCTTCCCTCTCCCCCACTTCTCATTCTTCACCCCCTCCCCCCCAGTTCTCCTTCCCCCCATCCGCGCGGGTGCGCAAGCTAGGTCGAGCAATCAACTGGGTGCACGTGGCAGGACTACAACCTCGCGCCCCTCCTGCCCTCCTCCCTTCTTAACTTTCTCCCCTCTTTCCCTCCTCTCCTTTTTCCCTCCTCCCCTCCTGTCCTCCTCCCCTCCCCCCCCTCCCCATCCCTCTTCCCCTCCTTCCCTCCCCTCCAGTTCTCCTTCCCCCCGTCAGCTAGAGTGCGCAAGCTAGGCCGGGCCATCAACTGGGCGCACGTGGCAGGTCTAGCTTTCTTCCACATGCTCACGGAGGCCATGCCGCAGCTCTACAACCTCGCGCCCCTCCTGCCCTCCTTCCACCGCGGCCTCCGCCTCCCTCTCCTCGCCTCACCCAAGCAGGTAACGCTGCTGCTGGTTAGGTTGGGGCATGCATAGGCGTCGTGGGTTTCAATCCAGGTCGACTCGAAGCACTGTGGACGAGGGCGGGTGGTGGTGGGGGGTAGAGGGGGGTGGGTGGTCGCTTGAATGACGCGTCAAGTGAACCGTTACTAGCCATCGGCACAGATCTAGCTTTGGGCCCTCCCGCAGCTCTACAACCTCGCGCCCCTCCTGCCCTCCTTCCACCGCGGCCTCCGCCTCCCTCTCCTCGCCTCACCCAAGCAGGTAACGCTGCTGGTCGTGGTGATGCTGCTGCTGCTGCTGCTGCTGCTGCTGCTGCTGCTGCTGCTGCTGCTGCTGCTGCTGCTGCTGCTGCTGCATGCGTGCATGAGCATTGTGCGTGTGGGTGAAGGAAAGGGTGGGGGGGAAGAAGAGTGGGAGGGGATGTTGGAAGTGGACACTGGAATGGCCCGAAGTGGTCTCCCTAAGGGCTACAGGTGTCGTCCTGGGGGGGGTATGGGTGCGCTGACCCACTATGGAAACATGCCCTTTCATCCCAGTCGGTTAGCGGACTGAAATGCTATCCCTGCAGGGGAGACGAAAAGGTGGGGTTGAAGGTGGGAACGGGAGGGGAGGAGAGGGGAGGAGGCTGGTTGGCTGGTTGGCTGGTTGTCATGCGTGAGCACTGGGCATGTTATTTTGTTCATGTCATTCATGTGCGACTTTTGAGGCGCCTCAGAAATGTTAGTTATGCTTATGGGCATGTTGTCATTCATAGGCGCCTTCTATCGTCTGTCGTCCATTCTCCTTAAACCGGCATCATTTGTACGTCGTAGATATATATATATATATATATATATATATATATATATATATATATATATATGCTTAGATGCGCGTGCGTGTGTGTGTGCCTGTGCTTGTGCATGTCCATGTGCGTGCAACCTACTAACAGGTGCAGGTGTGGGACGAGCTGATGGCGCCTCTAGTGGGCATAGCCAGGGACGACGTGGATCTCATAGTGCCGCCTGATGGCCACCTCGTGTTTGTGCGCACACTTGTAGAGGTGAGAAGGGAAGGGGCAGACCCTTGTTCTTTTGTGCATAGCCAGGTGCTGTTCTCAAAGAGCATAGCCAGTGACGACGTGGATCTTACAGTACCGCCGGACGGCTACCTCATGTTTGTGCGCACACTCACGGAGGTGAGACAGGGAAGGTTTCTCAATGCCAGGGACGATTGGCAGCTTCAATAGAGAAGTCGAATTGCTTCTTGACTTGCGCCGTACATTCTTCTCTCTTTCCACTCTCTCTCACACTCCCCCGCTTGCTCCCTCCTTCCCTCCACCCCCGTCACCCTTTCCACTCTCCCCCACGCCACCCAGCCATCCCGGCAGTACTGCGGGGTGCCGGCGCGGGGACTATGGCACAGCCTGCGTCGGCAGCACCTGCTGCACCCGCAGGGCCTCCCCATCTTCCACCGCAACTGGACGCAGAGAAACCTCACCCCCCTCACCGATGACCAAATGGCGCAGCTGCCTGCCGACTGGGTGGTGCTGCTGGTGCGGCGGCCGGGCAAGGAGAGGGTGATGGAGAGAGAGGGCGACCTGGAGGCCAGCATGAGGCGTGTGTTTGGCAACCGCCTGGTGGTTTACGGCAAGTCGCTGCCCATCCTGCAAGGTGGGGACAGCAGAAATATGTATATGCATAATTCATGTGTTATATAAATATAGACCCTCTCACTAGTTTCGTTTCACAAGAAAGAAACTTAAGCACCCTTTTCATCAACCTCACTGGCCCACCTAAATTCGGACTCCGCCTCCCTTAAGCACCCTTTTCCTCCCTTCCTCCCCGTCCCCTCGCTTCCCCCCTTCCCTCCCTTCCCCAACCCGAGCTACGTCCCATTCCTCTCTCACACTTCCGCTCCCGTTCTCCATGCTGTTCTATAGCCGGGCTATGTTCCGTTGTGACCACTCGCACTCGTGTGCTTCATCCATCAGTGCTGCTGCTGCTATTATCCCCCCTCTCAGCCCACATGTCTAAATCTCTGCTGCTGTTCTCCGGCAGTCCCACATATCCCTCTCCCTTCCTTTTCCACTTCCTCCCCCTCTTCCTCTCCCCACTCTTCTCCCTCCTCCCCTCCCCCCTCCCCCATCCCCCCCCCCATCCAGCCCGGGCACTGTTCCGGAGGGCGCGGCTGGTGGTGGCGGTGCACGGGGCGGGCCTCTCCCACACCATCTTCATGCCCTCCAATGCGTCCGTGCTCGAGATTCGCCCTCGGGATTACCACAACACGTGCTACCACCATCTTGCAGAAGCATGCGATGTCAATTACTATCTGATGCTGGGAGAAGGGAATAAGAAAGGCACTGTAAAGGCGGATTTAGGGGAGGTTATGGGGTTAGTAGAGACAATAGCTTCTGGCTGGAAGGATGAACCAGGCTAGAATGGTAGTGGTGGTTCTCTTGTCCTCTTGCAAAACATGTGGACAGAATGCATGCCATACAGTTACGTACATTTACGGTGAACAGGTAATGTACATTTACAGTACTACATGGTAATATCAAATAAACAGGTCCGCCTATTCATTTACGGTACGGTAATCTGATTCACATCCAGCCATGATGAACATTCTCTTTCTTCTCTTGTTGACGGTGTGTTTAGCCTCCATTCTTTCTTTAGTGTATATAGCCCACAAATGAAAGTACGGTAGGTACCATGGTTTGGCACATGACATGAGAGCAACTGCCAGAAAAACAGACCATGTACTGTAGTGATAGTAGTAACAAGGCTAAACTAACCAAATTGGCATCTCATCTGTAACTCTGGCCGAAAACAGCAAAAGATCCCGTGTGTCCATCCACTTCAACGCACAAGTATGCCGAGCAGCCAACGCAGCAGCAAACACAGTAACAAGGTCCGTCAAGGGCAAACAAACGTACGGCCCCAAAGCAACTCACTTACCTACACACAACACAACTCAACACCATCGCCTGTACTTCGGGTGTTGAGAAACGATCTGTCAAGCGTGGAAGGAACCAGGTACCACGGCCTTCATGCTTGTACATAAGCCTGCATGCATCTCATCTCACGTGGTCTATGCCGTCTATTCGAGTCGAGCCTATGGTTTGCCAACCAGGGCTCCCGAAAGGGGAGCGAGCTAGCAACTACATTGTACCCCACAAAATGTACGCGCCTCAACAAATTGATATGGTACCCCCGCCCGCACCAGAAGCAAGCTGTAGGCTAAAAGCACAGGCTGCTGCGGGTAGGAAGGTAGGGAGGGAGGTGGATAGGGAGGTGGGCAGGTAGGCGAGCAGGTAGGCGGGTTGTTGGGCGGCAAGGTGGTTAGGCAGATAGGTAGGCCCGGGCCCCATCCCTTGCTGTCGTGTCTTGTCTTGTCACGACCTTTAAGCCCTAGTCAAGCTTCCATCCGCGACTGACCCGCCCATGCATACCAGGATCCCGCTTTACAATCCTTCCTTGTAGCTGCGTCGCTCCTTTATGTCCCTGTCTGGTCTTGTCGCTAGACAAAACACAACAGCAGCGAGCACGGCTGAAAAAAAAAAAAAACAGAGCAGGTCACAACAGGCACAGCACAAAACTGCACAGAGCCGCACAGCACAGCACACCACCACACTGCACCACACAGGACAGCATCACACGGCACATTGCAGCGCTTGAGGCTCGACGAAAACCGCGGCTCCGGCCCCTCTCCTCTACTTGCCCCTCTTTCCCTCCCGCTTACTGGAAGCTCCCCTTTCGATCCGAACGTTCTCTGCACCACATGCTATATGTCTCCCACCCTTCCTCCCCCAACTCTCCCCCCATCCCACACCACCCCCCCCCACTCATCCCCCGCTGTCCCTCTCAACCCTCATACCCCTACTCCGCCCTCTTCCCAGATCCCTCCCCATTCCTCGTCCACCCAGCCTCCTCTCCCTCCTCAGCCAATGCCACTGAGTCAACCAGTGCGGGGGGGGGTTGGTCTAGCCGAGGGGTTCCTCAGTAGGTCGAAGTAGGGGTGGTCCTGAGGGGTGGGAAGAGGTGGGATGGGATGGGATGGGATGGGATGGGATGGGATGGGATGGGATGGGATGGGATGGGATGGGACAGGACGGGACGGGACGGGACGGGACAGGACGGGACGGGATGGGATGGGGTGGGGTGGGGTGGGGTGAGGATGGGATGGGATGGGATGGGATGGGATGGGATGGGATGGTATGGATGGGATGGGATGGGATGGGATGGGATGGGATGGGATGGGATGGGGAAATAGGCTAGCTCGACACACGGTATTATCCACATGCTATAACCCATACCCAACACCATTCTCCACTGTGCCAAACCAAGCCCCCACCATGCCCCACCATAACAGCATAGCCCCATACCCCACCATAACAGCATAGCCCCATACCCCACCATAACCCCAGCAGAAAGCCACCCAGCAAGAGACCCGGCATGGCACTGGCACTGACCATGGCTTGCTTGGCTGTGAGCCTCTCTTGGTGGTCGTAGCGCAGCAGGCGGTCAAGAAAGTCAATGGCCTGGTGGGGGGAGGAGGGGGAGGGGGGAGGGGGTAAAGGAGGAGGGGGGTGGGGGTTGAGTCGACTCAAATCTCTCCTGGTGGTTGTCGCACAGCAGGCGGTTAAGAAAGTCAATGGCTTAGAGGAGACGGTGAGTGACAGGGCGCGAGGGGCAACAGGGGGGTTGAGAACCGGGAAAGGCGGCAAGCGGCGGAGAGGAGGGAGGGAGGGAGTGGGGAAGGAGGCAGCGAGAGGAGAGAGGAGGAGAACGGGCAGCTGGGATATCGATGGGTGGGATGGCAAGGCTGTGAGGCGAAGTAAGGGGGGTCATTGACCATGAGGGAGATAAGAGGGACGATTTCGAGGGAGGTGAGGGAGGGAGGTGAGTTAGGGCATTTACCTCGGGTGACACGAGGTGCTGGTTCTCAGCTGTGATAAAGCGCGACCATGGCTTGCGGCGATGCCTCCCAACAGCGGACTGCAGCTGCGAGTCCAGCCGTACAGAGTAGCGCGTGAGGTACTGGTACAGGTCCGATGTGCCTAGGACCTGGATCGGGAGGGAGGACAGGGGGGGCGGAAGTGAGGGTGTGAAGGGGTGGAGAGGGACTGCAGCTGCGAGTGCTGCGAGTCTAGGTGCACCGTGCACGGAGGAGTAGCGTGTGAGGTACTGGTACAGGTCCGATGTGCCTTGGACCTGGTTGAGAGGAATTGGAAGGGGAGGCGGATGGGGGGAGTTGGATTGGGGAAAAGAGTAAGGAGGGGAAGTGAGCGTGAGGAAGAGAGGTGCTGGTACTGCTGCATGCACGCCCTGCTGCATGTTCCCCAGCTTCTGTAGGGTTAGGGGTCACCAGAAACCTGGTCATGCCTTCTTGCCATCCCTCACACCCCGCACCTTCCATCCACTCCCCCTCCTCCCCCTCCCATCCCATCCCCTCCCATCCCCTCCCATCCCGTCCCCTTGCCTTCGCGACATGGCAAGGTGATGAGGCGTGCACATTGTTATGATGATGATGAATCACCTCACCTGAGCAATCTTGACGAGCTGGTCGTTGTTGTCCGCGCCAAAGAAGAAGGGCTCCCTGCGGAAGATCTGCCATGCGGGAGAGAGGGGTGAGGGGGGGGGGCGAGGTGTGGGAGAGGGGCGTAGGAGAGAGGAGTGAGAGAGGGGAGTGGGAGAGGGGAGTGGGAGAGAGGAGTGGGAGAGGGGAGTGGGAGAGGGGAGTGGGAGAGAGGAGTGGGAGAGGGGAGTGGGAGAGGGAGTGGGAGAGGGGAGTGGGAGAGAGGAGGGAGAGGGGAGTGGGAGAGAGGAGTGGGAGAGGGGAGTGGGAGAGGGGAGTGGGAGAGAGGAGTGGGAGAGGGGAGTGGGAGAGGGGAGTGGGAGAGGGGAGTGGGAGAGAGGAGTGGGAGAGGGGAGTGGGAGAGGGGAGTGGGAGAGGGGAGTGGGAGAGAGGAGTGGGAGAGGGGAGTGGGAGAGGGGAGTGGGAGAGAGGAGTGGGAGAGGGGAGTGGGAGAGGGGAGTGGGAGAGAGGAGTGAGAGAGGGGAGTGGGAGAGGGGAGTGGGAGAGGGGAGTGGGAGAGGGGAGTGGGAGAGAGGAGTGGGAGAGGGGAGTGGGAGAGGGGAGTGGGAGAGAGGAGTGGGAGAGGGGAGTGGGAGAGGGGAGTGGGAGAGGGGAGTGGGAGAGAGGAGTGGGAGAGGGGAGTGGGAGAGGGGAGTGGGAGAGGGGAGTGGGAGAGAGGAGTGGGAGAGGGGAGTGGGAGAGGGGAGTGGGAGAGAGGAGTGGGAGAGGGGAGTGGGAGAGGGGAGTGGGAGAGAGGAGTGGGAGAGGGGAGTGGGAGAGGGGAGTGGGAGAGAGGAGTGGGAGAGGGGAGTGGGAGAGAGGAGTGGGAGAGGGGAGTGGGAGAGGGGAGTGGGAGAGAGGAGTGGGAGAGGGGAGTGGGAGAGGGGAGTGGGAGAGGGGAGTGGGAGAGAGGAGTGGGAGAGGGGAGTGGGAGAGGGGAGTGGGAGAGGTGAGGGGGAGAGTGGGAGGGCGGGCAGGAGAGTGTTGAGAAGGGATGGGGGAAGGGATGGAAGAAAGGATGATACGAGGAGGAGAGGGAGAATGAGAGTGGGATGGGAGCAAGGCAGGGGGTGAGAGGGGAAATGTGTGAACGCAAGAAGCGTTCCTCTATGTTCACTGCTTACATGCACCCCATGCTCAATATGCTCTCACCACCACACACCCCATCCCCCATGCTCTCACCACCATCCCCTCCGCACCCCCCAGGCTCACCATGCCTACCCCCCAGGCTCACCATGCCTGCGACCATGCAGCCCAGGCTCCACATGTCCAGCGAGTAGTCATAGTCCTCTATGTTCACCAGCAGCTCTGGCCCCTTGAAGTACCTGCGACGGGAGGGTGGGGAAGGAGTGGCACGGGTGGGAGGGGGGAGGAAGGAAGGGGGAGAGGGAGCGGGAGAGATGCACCACATGTTGGGGAGGGGGAAAGTCCAGCGAGTAGTCATAGTCCTCTACGTTCACCAGCAGCTCAGGACCCTTACCTGGGGGAAAAGGAGAGGAGATGGGACGAGAGGGGGAACGGGGGAGTGGGAAAGGGCGAGGAAGCAAGAGAGGGGAGGGATGCACAGCAGCACATTGAGGAGTGGAAGGCCAGCGATTAGCCGTAGCCTCAATGTTCACCAGCAGCTCGGGCCCCTCAATGATGAAGCTTTTTAGAATTGTTATTGTTTTCGTTATAGTGCCATAGTCCCGGCCCTCCTCAATTACCATCATCAGCAGCAGCAGCAGCAGCAGCAGCAGCAGCAGCAGCAGCAGCAGCAGCAGCCCAAGTTCATGCTTCTACCCGCCTAGACACCCTGGCCAATGATGCTGTGCTGCGGACACCCTTTAGAACCCCAGCCAACTCCCCTGCACCGCAGGCAACTCTAGAGCGCATCGTACTACAACCTCCCTGCCTCACAATCCCACACCCCCACACGCGCACAACACGCACCAGGAGGTGACGCACACCCGGGCATGGCCTACAACGTGTGCAAGCCCCCAGTCTATGAGGCGCAGCTGGCGCTACCTGTCTTGTCCCACACACACGCACACTCTCACACACTCTTAACCACCCAACCACGCGCACGCACCTAGAGGCGACGCGCACGTTGTAGGCCATGCCCGGTTGGTAGAGGGAGACTCCGCCAGCCCCCAGTCTATGAACTGCAGCTGGCCCTGCCCCGACTCATTGCCTCTACCCATTCACACACCCTACCCATGCTGCTGTGCCGCGAACTCCCCTGCATCCCGCACCGTACGTCCCCTGTGCACCCTGAACAACTCACCTAGAGGCGACGCGCACGTTGTAGGCCATGCCCGGGTGGTAGAACTCCGCGAGGCCCCAGTCTATGAGGCGCAGCTGGCGGCGCTGGTGGTCGATCATCACGTTGTGCGGCTTCACATCGCGGTGCATGATGCCCTGTGAATGCGCAAAGTCGAGCGCCTGTGGGAAGAGAGGGATGGGGGGCGAGAGGGGAAGGGGAGAGGGGAGGGGAGGGGAGGGGAGGGGAGGGACGGGAAGGGGAGAGGAGGTGAGGGGAGAGGACGGGACGGGACGGGATGGGAAGAGAACAGAAAGAAAGAAAGGCAGCTTTGAGGCATGGAGAGAAGGAAAGGGCTTCACGTCACACGGCACGGCACGATGCCTTACAGGTGCGCATAGCTCAGCACCTGGAGGAAGGGCGAGGAGATGGGGACGGAGGTGGGGAGATGGGGACGGAGGTGGGGAGATGGGGATGGAGTGACGTGGGAGGTGTGCTTTCGCCAATGCTTTCACATACGCGACAAGGCATACTTTTACATGTTATCAGCAGGCATACAGCCGTACCTGCAGCAGCAGCTGATAGAGGTAAAAGCGGCTGTCAAGTTCGGAGAGAGAGACACACACACGGCCTCACACGCACGCACTCCAGCTGGGACACACACACACACACACACACACACACACACACACACACACACACACACACACACACCTATACCTGCAGCAGCTTGTAGATGTAGAAACGAATATCCAGGTCGGAGAGAGCGGGGTAGAGGTGATTGAAGTCCTGGTTGTCATTGCTCTCACATACGCGACTAGGCATGCTTCCACACGTTCTCGGAAAGCACACAGCCATTCGGACCTGCAGCACACTCGCACACAGCCATTCGTACCTGCAGCAGCAGCTCATAGAGGTAGAAGCGGATGTCAAGGCCTGTGAGAAACACCCTCACACACACACGTACAGCAGGCGGGCACCCCCGTACCTGTAGCAGCTCGTAGAGGTAGAAGCGGATATCCAGGTCAGAGAGCGCAGGGTAGAGGTGCTTGAAGTCGTGGTTGTTCACAAACTCAAAGACCAGCGACGGCGTGCCCGACTGCGCGTCCTGCACCACGTCCAGCAGCTGAATGATGTTGCGCCCGCCCATCAAGTTCTGCAGTATCTTGATCTCGCGCAGAATCTGGTGGGGAAGAGAGCGACATGACAGGGAGGGAGAGAGAGGGAAAAGGAAGGAGGAAGGGGATGGGAGGGAAAGACGGTGGGCAGTGGAGGGGAGGGGAGGGGGCCGGGGGAGGCGGGTGGGAATTTGCTTGTGAGGCGGCTCTGGAAGAGGGTGCGAACGACCAGCACCATCAGGTAGACCGTAGAGGTGCTAGACTCAAAGACCAGCAAGGGCGTGCCTGACTGCGCGTCCTGCACCACGTCCAGCAGCTGGATGATGTTGCGCCCGCCCATGAGGTTCTGCAGAATTTGATCTCGCGCAGGATCTGGTGGGGCAGGATGAGGAGGGAGAGGTTGAGTGGGAAGATTCAGAGATGGTAGGAAACAGGGAATAGGACAGGGCGCGTGTGTCCGTGTCTATGCTTGTGTGGGGGGGTGGGGTTGGGACGGTGGGGATTGGGATGTGGGGAGATGGAGGGAAGGCAAACAGGAAGGGACAGGAAGAGGGGAAGGAGGAGGGATGAAGCGTGGGATAGAAAACGGGGGGGGTGGGGGGGATAGCGGTTACATGAAGTGCACGACGCGATTCACATATAGTAAGAAGGCAATGACGTCTAATTGACGGATGCAACACAAAACGCTCCGACTAACTTGTGCCTCCTATCACTTCACTCACTCACCCCTTCCCCACACCCCCCCCCCCTCCTCTCACTAACCCATACTGCCCTCCTCTCCGCTCCTCCCCCTTTCCCCCACTCCCTCGCTCCCCTTCAGCCTCCTCTTTTCCCCTGTCTGCCCCTCCGTCCATCTCTCTGCCCCTCTCTCCGCCTTCCCTCCCCCCCCTCCTCTCCTCTTCCCCCTGCCCTGTCCGTCCCTCCGGCGCACGGGCTTGAGCACTTTGACGATGCAGCGCGTTTTGAGACGCATCTCAAAACTGACACTGACAACCCTCCCCCCCCCTCCTCCCCCTTCCTTCCCCTCTCCCCCCGCACATCCCCCCCCCTCCCCCCCCCCCCTCGTACCTTCTTGCGGCGCACGGGCTTGAGCACTTTGACGATGCAGCGTGCGCCGTGGCGGGTGCTGCGCCCCTCAAACACCTCGCTGTACTTCCCGCGCCCCACCTTGCGCACCAGCTCGTAGTCCCCCTGGTCGCTGCAGGGGGGGGAGGGGGAAAGAGAGAGGGGGAGGGAGGGAAAGGGCTGGGGAGAGTTGGTTGTGCAGGAGCCAAAAGCCTGTCTTGCTACCTCCCACGCCCCACCTTGCGCACCAGCTCGTAGTCCGCCTGGTCGCTGCAGCACAGCACTGCAGGGGGAGAGAAGAAGGAGAAGAGGGAAGGGGGAAAGGGGTAGGGGACTGGGGGGGGAGTGTTGCGCCTTGTATGTAATCTTCTGCAAGTACTTACCTCACGTTCCGTATAGGGGACTCAAGGATGTGCTTTCTTCTTCCTCTCCCCTCCCCCTCCGTTGCGCATCAACTTGGTCTAACAGCAATGCAGGTAGCACAAGCGCACCGCACCAGCTCAGACCACACCACACCACACCACACCACACCACGCCACATCACATCACACCACACCATTCCCTGACAATCCTTCCTCCCTCCTCTTTTCTCCCACTAAGTCCCCCAGCCTTTCACTCTTTGCTCATTCAATCACTAGACCAGTTGACCCAGTGGTCTTACGATCACTGCATAAACAAGTCACAGCACCCAAGCGCACCCCACATCACCTCACACCACACGACACTACCTCTAGCCCCTTCTCCCTGCCCCTTTCTTACCATTTGTTCTTCTCACTCAACCCCATGTTACCCTCATCCTCTTCCTCCCACTCACCCCCACGGCACTCGGAGGGCCTCATAGGCCCAGTAGTCCGCGGATCGCTGCCCGTTCACATGGCGACACACGCGCATATTATACCACACCACACCATACCACACCGTACCACACCACACCGCATCACACCGTACCACACCACACAGTGCCCCACCTCCCTTCACCTTACATGTCCTTCCACTCACCCCCACGGCACTCGGAGCGCCTCGTAGTCCCAGTAGTCCGCGGGTCGCTGCACGTTCACGTGGCTGTACACGCGCGAGCAAGGCGCGGGAGGCGGGGGCGGGTCCGGATACGTGGTAGGGCTCTGGAGGAACGAAACAAGCTGGGAGAATTTGGGAAACCCTGGGAGTAATCGCTGCTCTTCCTGCTGCTGCTGCTGCTGTATCTGTTGCAGATGTGCCTTTCTCTGCGGAGTGTGCTGCATGGGTTGCTTGGGCTGATGTTGCTGCGGCTGCGACGGCGAAAGCGGCAGCCTCTGCTGCTGAAGCAGCTGCGACTGACGCTGCTGCTGCAGCAGCTGCTGCTGCTGTAGCTGCTGCTGCTGCTGCTGCTGTTGCCGTTGAATCATCTGCCGATGCTGCTGTAATCGTTGCTGCTCCTTCAACTTTTGCTGCTGCTGCTGCGCGTGTAGCATGTTTAGCTGCTGCTGTCGCTGCTGCTGCTGCTGCTGCATAAGAAGAGCCTGAGCCTCTTGCCTGGCTGCCGCTGCGGCAGCCATCTGCTGCTGCTGCAGCTGCTCGAGTCGCCGCTGTCTCTGCAGCTCCTGCTGCTGCTTCTTCTGCAATTCCTCCTCCTCCTGCTGCTTCTGCGACGAGGGAGGGGTTGGGGAAGAGGCGGAAGGAGCGGCTGTTTCCGCTTGCTGCTGGCGCGGCTGCTGCTGCTGTCGCGTGACTCTATCCATAGTCTCGAATAGGCGTCCAAATGAAAACCCATTAGAAGCACCGCCCCCATCTTTCGTCGGCCACAGTCCTTGCTTCGGCTGCTGTTGTTGTTGCTGCTGCTGTTGCGACGGCTGCGACGGAGACGGGTCGTTGCTGCCGCTATTGCTCCCCGCGCGCGTTGTTCCCTTCCAACCACCGCCTACTCCGCTCCCGCCGCCGCCGCCGCCGCTGCCGGAAACCCAGCAGCTCGGTAGTTGATCATGGTCGGAATGTGCGGGCGTGAGGTAGGGTGGGTGGGAGATACCAGGCGTTAACACGGACGGGCGGTAGCTGTTACGGATAATAAGGCGACGCGGATGACAATGCTGGGCGACGCGGTGCGGTTGCGGAGTGAAGACGTGGACACCCGCATGGTGCGGCGGCACAAGCAGCAACCGCGGGCACGACACGGAAAGGCACCCGCTGGGGATAGCGGCGCAGGGATGGGCTTGAACGATACGGGAAGGGGAAGGAGCGGCAATGGTGGCTGTGCGGGAGGTAGCGCAGGAGCCTGCGCGGGAAGTTGCGCTGGAGGCTCTGCGGAAGGCTGCGCGGGAGGTTGCGCGGGAATCGGAGCGGAGAGTGTGTGGGTAATGCGGGGGGTGGGAGAGTTGAGAGAGACTGGAGGCGAGCGAAGAGCTTATATGGGTTTGGGCCATGGGTGTGACAAAGGTGTCGCGCGCTTGAGTAAAAGCAAAGACCTAGGCTCGGCAATATGTCACTGGGGGAGGTTGGAGTGGTGAATATTGTTGGTTATTGGTGGCAGTACTCCCGTCGTGCTACGACATCAAACAGGCCGGCAATACTTGAGCTGAATGAACTCTGTCAGCTATATCCAAGTCTCCAACCGTTAATGGTGTCGAAGTCGTAGGATATGCTGCTGCGTTAGGCTTGCCACGGTCTTGCCTGTCGGCCTTGGAGTCCTCCCAGGGTTGCGTTGGTCACCCTAGTCGCACTCATTGCTCAACGAGAAAGCAGAGCTAATGCTCCGCAATCCGCCATGGATCAACGCAGGACGGAAGCAAATGCACAGCGTGTCTTGTCAGATGACGGACGATCAAGTCTATTCAGTCTAGTTGGGATCAATGGACTGAGTTCTGGGTGGGAGGGAGGATCAGCACGTGCTTGGTAACTAGGAGTGTGAGCGTGATAGTGGTTTGGGAAATGGGTAGGGTACTGGTAGGTTGGCCTCTCACCTCTCGGATCAGATATTCAGTCAGAGCATATCCGTGAGCGTGTGACTGCTTGCTCGCTAGGCCCGTTGGAGGGAATGTGTCCGTTGGATGTTGGTTTGGCGCTTGCTTCGGGATTGGTTTGGAAATGCTGAGCCTAGGATTATCCACTTACACAAATAGGAACCCAGGCGGCTGTGCGAATCGACTGTAGAGAATGTGGGTATTTGCAAAGCACAGCTTCGGTAATATTTTGGCAGTGAGTTGCAATGCACCGGAATCAGAAGCTAGTCTTCATTCCCCTGAATCTCTCGTGTCCAGGGTCCTACGCTGTACCCGCATACTCATCCCTCTCCTCCACTTCTTGAGACTGGCTTCTATTTTGCGAGAAGAGCTCCACGTAGAATTACCTGGTTAAAAAAAAGGATGCTCAGGGAAACCCCCATTTGAGTCTTGGCAGAATGGCGGGAAGTAATCAAGATCGTGATCCAACGGTTGTCGATGACACTGAATATCCGCGTGAATGATGACGTGGGTATTAGGCATACTGTGATTGGGTGTGGAAACAATGTCATGTGCTCAGGCCTAACCCTCTGACCCAACAACCGTCGCAAATAAAAGAGATGGCTGATTAAAAACACATCATGCTACTTCATTCATAAAATGAATATTTGTAGTATTAGTCAATGCATACACCAGGCCCTCAGATTGGTTTGAGGGTATGCTGATCGATCAGTGTGCCCCGGCCGCCCAGGTGTCCAAATCAGCGTTCATGGTTTTTTTAATACTGATTTTGCCAGTGTAAAAATCATAAGTAGACTGAACCATCAGTGTAAAAAAGAAAAACAAAGTTGAATCACCAATTCAACTTAAAGTTTGCCGCTGTGAGAGTTCCTTCCAGCGATGCAAAGCACGGCGGCACGCGATCTTCTGTACAGCGCATGGCATCTCCAAGTGTGTGGGTGGGGTCTCGTGAATCCCGGGCCAGGTACATACTATACACACGCGTAACCCCCCCCCCTCCCCCCCCCCCCCCCCCCCCCCCCCCCCCCGAATCGGTCAAGTCCGTTTCAGTGTGACTCACGACACTACGCTGATTCGTCAGTGTTACTTCTACAGCAACACGGAAAATGGTCAGTGTGGCAAGGTAGTTTATAGTGAAATTTCAGTGCAAAATTGAAACATATGCTGAATTTCCAGGGAAAACGAAAATCACAGCTACAAAATCAGCCTAATCAGCGTCTTTTACGCTGATATCTGAGGGCCTGGCATACACGCATGTGCCAATCAGATGAACGAGCAGAGGGCATATGAAGAATTCTTTAATCTTGATGTTGGGCTGAGAAAAGCCCTTAGGATCTTTGCAGGACTAAACTCTGAGTAGGAACAATGTAATAGCGGAAGCGTTTAATGATAAGTGTGCGAACCACCTTGCGCTGGTATGTGAGGGCAAAGTAGATTGATTAAAACAAAAGGATAAAAGGCTTTTATAAGAGTACAGAAGAATATGAAAGGTTATAGCTAATAACTGTTTTACTGTTGCTGTTGCGGTTCGATACAGTGACGACTCGGGCAACTGCTCAGTAACGAGTCAGTTGTTTGTCCTTGCTGTCACGCTGTACTTGTCAGGTCAAAGGTCGGTGACCTTTGAATTTCGCGTAACCTCTGTTGGGCTGAAAAAGCACTTAGGATCTTTGCAGGGGTGAACTATGGGTAGGACAGATGTAATAGCGGAAGCGTTTTAATGAAGAGTTGTGAACTGAGAAAACTGAAACGAGAATGAATGAACTATGAACGAACTGAGTACAAGTACTAACCCTAATTGGGTTGTACCCCTTATGGGCTACCCCACTATAGCCTACACAATAAGCACAAGCTATATGTTCTGACACACCCCCATAGGCAAAGTGGGGAGAACAAGGGGTCACAAGACCAGTCAAGCAAAGCAAAGCAAAGCAAGCTCAGGGTGGATCACAAAGTCACCACACATTCTGAGCACAAGTTCAAGGCCACAAGGCCAGTTCACATGCAGGAGTACATATATATAAAGGACTAGACAAGTAAGAGCAGGTATATATATATGCAATAGTACAAGCAAGGTCAAGAGGTGAGCAAGTGAGGCAAGACAAGCACAAGACCCAACTGCGTGCAGAAGCGCTGATGATCACAAGGCGCAAGTGCCTTGGTGAAGACATCAGCAGTGTTGGCCTCAGAGGCCACGTACGAAAGCCGCAACTAACCACGCTGCTGTAGCTCACGAGCAAGGAAGTAGCGAAGAGCAATGTGCTTTGTTCTGTGCTCCAGTCTCTGCTCTCGACACAAGGCCAGCATGGCCTTGTTGTCTACGTACAGCACTGGAGGAGAACGGAGCGACTCTCCAAGTCGGTCAGCAGGTAGGTGAGCCAGCGAAGCTCCTGAGCAGCCATGGCCCCGGCGTAGATCTCAGCCTCACAACTGGAGCCGAGAACAGAAGACGAGCGAGTAGCTCGCCACGAAACAGAGCCGGAACCAAGGCTGAAGGTGTAACCCTGTGACGACCGCTGCGTAGCCTGGTCGTCAGCCCAAGAAGCGTCTGCGTGCCCAGTGAGGACCACTGGACTCCGCCCTCCAAGCACTAGCCCCATGCCCGACGTACTGCACAAGTAGCGCAACACCCTCTTCGCTGCAGCCATGTGCTCCGGTCTGTGTCTCCCAGGAGCAACATAGCGTGCGAGAATGCTAAGAGGGTATGCAAGGTCAGGTCGTGTGCAGGTCATCCGGTACATGAGGCAGCCAACAAGCTCTGGATACCGGCCACTCGACTCTACGGACTCATCCAAAGGCAGAGTTGAGAGCAAGTGGCGAGTAGGCAGAGGAGTGGTCTGAGGCGAGGAGTACGTGAAGCCGAAGCGCTGAAGAACATGCTGCACCATGTGTGACTGAGTCAGGGTAATGGTGCGGCGTGCTCTGTCCCGAGTGATCTGCAAGCCAAGGTAGCTGCGCAGTTCACCCAGGTCTGTGCACGTGTGTCTCTTCTGCAGCTCGGACTTCACGTAGGCGAGTCCAGCAGTGTCAGCTGTGGCAAAGACCAAGTCGTCGACGTACACGAGGATGTAGAACGGCGGCAGAGAGGAGTCGGTGCGCAGAAACAGCGACGGGTCAGCAGTAGAAGGAGCAAACCCAAGAGCCGCAAGCGTAGTCCTCAGTGTGTCGTGCCACTCACGTGGCGCCTGGCGGAGACCGTAGACTGGACGCCGGAGACTCCACTAGGTACCAGGAGGGAAAGACCAAGTGAAGCCAGGAGGGCGGCGCAGCCAGATCTCCTCGTGCAGGCTGCCCTGCAAGAAAGCTGTGCTGAAGTCGAGAGAGTGCAGCTCGTAGTCACGGTGAGCAGCAACGTACAGCAGTACCCGAAGAGTGGTCATCTTCAGGGTGGGAGAGAAGGTCTAAAAGTAGTCAACTCCCTGCTGCTGACTGAAGCCACGAGCCACGTAACGCGCCTTGAAGACAGGCGGAGAACCCGGCGGCCGCTTCACCCTGAAGATCCACATACCACTGACGATGTTCGCCCCAGGAGGGGGGACAGCGTCAATGTAGGTGCCTGTGGACTTCCAGGAAGCCATCTCTGCATACATAGCTGCCTGCCACTGAGAAGAGTAGGGACCCTCTATCGCCTCCGCGTAAGAGCGCGGAGTCGGGATGTCAAGTGCATCCGGGTCTCCCTCAGGGGTAAGCAGTACGGACACGAGATGAGGTGAAGCAGCGGCCAAGCACTGGAACTCCTCCTGCCTGTCCTCAAGGACGTCCGTGCCAAGGGCACACTCACCCCCGACGGACGGAGGACAGACAGACTCAGACTCAGCAACAAGACTGGCAGCGTAGTCTAGACGACAGCGGGCAGCAAAGTCGACGAGCTCAGCAACTAGGGCAGACGCAGCAGTGGACTCAAAGGAAGGGTCAGTGACAACAGTAGCAAGGAGACGCGTGACGGTAGGACTGGCAGCACGAAGAGAGTCCAACTCCAGGTCGACAAGAGAAGGAAGAGAAGACACAGGAGGAGAAGGCAAAGGGGCACGCAGAGGAGCAGTGGACGGACGTAGAGACATCCGGTGCATGCCAGGGACAGGAGGAGGATGCTGACGCGAACCACGACCACTAGCACGAGCAGCACGGTCAGGCGACGTAGGGCGAGACGCAGACTCACGACGCTCAGTAAGACCTC